CAATTTTCTCCTAACAATATCCATACATCATAAAGAGAAATGGGATCATTGTAAGTTTCAGGGAAACTGCCCCCCACTACCCCTCCCCTAAGCCAACATTTTGCCTTAAGTGAGAATTAAGTGTTAATGTTGGCTTAGGGGAGGGGTAGGGGGGCAGTTTCCCAGAAAACTATAATGATCCAAAAAGAAATGTGCACTTGAAAAGATGTCATGGTTCTTCTTACCAACTTCTAGACACTATGTAACATTATTGTGTGGCAAAACTGGCAAGAATACATCAACACAACAGCTTAAATTGAGCAAGAACAATAATACATTGAGCACATGGTAAAACTAGCCTGCCCGCTGAGACTGATGGGAACTAAACAATTACATTACAATCATCACCAAAGGCAAAAAGTGCATTGATCTTTTATCTAATTTCCTCAACTGATTCTTTAACCCATTTGCCTGTAACCGCCCGTGCGGATCCATGTCCTTTCTACCCTTTGTGACATTATCAGTTTTAACGGTCAAGGACAACTTTCTTCGCTAACTTGTGCAGAGTGAAGAGATCTTTCAAACCATACCAGAATGAGCACAGTTCAGTCAAGGACACCGGAGAAAGAAGCAAAAAACCACGTGACATGGACCTGAAAATGTCCATGAAAATCTTGTTCCATTGCCCACCTACCTTTCCTTTCACCTAATCCTAAGATCCTAAAACCTTTCCTAAAAACTATTCTCACCAAAATGAAGCCTACTTAATGCCCAGCAAGAGAAAAAAAATGAGGCAAGAAAAGCGAAAAAAGAAGGGAGGAGAGAAAGCGAAAAGTAAAAGTCAAGAAATTTTGCTTTCTGTGCATGCCCGAACTTTGCAAGCTGATATTTTGCATCTGGATCAGAAGGCCGCGAAGTGTACGACCTGTAAACCGGTTTGTGGTAAGTTTTAGCTCTTTTTAGCATGACAGTGACCAGAAAACCACTCGGCTAGCTTCAAAACGCGTTTTTCGGCAAACTCTCCAGGAGCAAATGGGTTAAGGATATGTATAACATTCTGTCTAGAGAATTTGAATGTAGATCACGGGTCTTAAAGGGTTAAACAAAGGGAAGATTTAGTATGTAACTGACCTGTTCTTGATAAGCCAGTAATCTTGACCATCATCATTTCCATAACCTACCACAAGAACACCATGATCCAACTGCGTGCTGCTGCAGGCTGGTTCATCATATACACCTGTATGATAAAACTGGAAAGAACGATGACTAGCATCAATTGCTACTGAAATCGGACCAACAGAGGCCACAGCTGATTGGAGGGAATCTTCGTCACCAGATGGAATATCTGTATAACCAGTGTCAGTTGCACCAACATCAGAAGCATTAAAGCGACAATAACCGACCTAAAGAAAAATGAAATTAAGAAAACTTTAGTCTCCGTGGTATGCCATGTGATCACCTGCTACTTTCTCCCAAGAAAATCAATACATCATCAAGAGAAATGGTGCGATGAATTAATAAAATGATCATGAAAGGAAAAATACATTGATCATTAAATAAAATCTCCCAACTAATTCTTAAAAAATTAACATGGACATCTGTCTGGAGAACTTGTAAGGGAATGTTAGGGATAAAGGGTTAAACGCCAGGACAAAAATACGGCTTCCAAAATCCGGGACCTTGAGGCAACAGATTTTCAAACTTGTTCAGATGAAAATGAAAATGCACGCAAAGATACACACTATTAATCAAGAGGCTACCTCTTGTAGAACTTACTGCACATTGTGTAAAAGAAATTATCTGCCCGAGTGTCATTTCATGCATAGCATGACATCTTCCCTTCTCAATATTACGCAGTTTTCCCTCTGCATTTCCAACACAGAAACAAGGATATACATATTTCATATTTCTTTACCTGAGCTTGGTAAGGATAACTGTACTCAGTGTCAATTCCCCCATTGTCCCTGATGTACTTAAAGGCATTGTCCATAAGACCTCCATGGCAACCATTGTTTCCATAAGACGATGAACAATCAACCAAGTTCTGTTCACTAAGAGAAACAAGCTGGCCAGTCTTTCTAAAGTTTTGGCCTTCCAGTGATCCAGTCTGAAAAGAACAAGTGATCAAAATATCTAAGTGAAGCAATTATCATTGAAACACCTTGATAAGACTGGTAAAGAACAATATTTTCATCCTGGTCAGTTTTCCAGGTCACGAGTCTTAACAGGGTGTACAAAATTTATTCCAATATTTAGCATCCTGAACAAGGTGTCATTTTGAAGAGTGTGAAGAGTTGGCAATTATTAGTTATCTACATTAATTTTTTTGGTCAGCAAATTTTCCCCCTAAAATCTAATTTGATAATGCCAGTTTAAAGATTAATTCTGATTACAAAACAAAATGGATTCAGGCTTTAAAACAAGGTCTCATCTCTTTAATTTATTGCGTAGCAAACTCAACCATTTTTTGTTTTAAACAGGGTCAGCATTTGAAGGCCTCACCCAAACGTCCCTCGAGTACCTCTCTCAATTCTTCTCAAAATGGAAACAAAATTACCGTATTTCCTCAAAAAATAGCCGGGGGAGATTATTTATTTTTTTGCACAGAAAGGGGGCGATTATTCTAGGGAAGGAGATTATTTGAGGAAGGCAATTATTTCAAATATTGCTTACTGGAAGTTCTGCCCTAAATATTTTGTTTTATTTTCCTATTAAATCAAAAAATAATCATGTCAAATAAACTGAACATGGGCTTTTTAAGTGTGCCAAATTAAGTTCCTTGATTAATTTTCAAAGCTTAAATCGTCACTGATCAGTTTTGCTGAATCTCATTGCACTTCAGCTTAACAGGGAGGGGATAAAAGGAAGAGAAGATGGCAAGAGGGGTGGAGGAGTGGCGATTATTCAAGGGAGGTGATTATTTTAAGTATTTCCGTCAACGGGGGGTGATTATTCGAGGGAGGAGATTAATCAAGGGACAGCTATTATTCGAGGAAACACAGTAAGTAGATCAAAAACAAATCAACTTACTGTACTGAAAGACCAACATGATCCGCAATGACCTTGGTTCTTAACAGGGGTAACATACCCCTCCTCTCTCCAATCAACAGTGTCTGGTATCTTTAGGTTTGCTGGTGGAAGGTATGTGGAGGCTTTTTCTTTAGAATCCTTTGGGTTTTTTCTCATCTTATATCCATTTAACATCTCCTTGACTTCTTGTGATGTCTAGAAGAATCAAAGAGTTTGTTTAGTATGGTAACTCTCTAAACTAAATGCACATACTTCATATTCTAAATCATTATCACTTTATCATATTAAAATAACTTTACATGTAATAACAAGTTAAACCAGGTTGGTGTAGATCAAATGTAGGTTTGAGGACCAGCCACTGTTCAAAGAAAATGAGCAGAGCAGACCAGACTCAAGAGGACAGAGAAGATCAAGCCTAGATCAAAAGTTGAAAATTATTGTTCTTCTTCACTGATGCAATTTTATTTTTTAATAATTTTCAAATTACGGGTTAATGAATACCTTAACACTTTCATCTTACTTTACAAAAAAGTTATTGACATTACTCTTACCAAGTCTCCAAGATGATTCATTGCTAGTTTATATTTATGCACTTCATTGTGGGAAACAATTTTTTTCAGGTTGTCTTGCCAGATGAAATTACGAACTCTTTCTTCACCAACGTCACCATAGCTTTTACCATGAAATGACTTCCATGCCTTCCAGCTAGGATCCTCCAGAGGATCAGAGTTGGGTTTAGGGGGCCATGCCACAGAGATTCCAAAAGATAATGCTATAAGCATCAAACACTTCATGGTGAATCTGGTGTACAGGAAACAAAAATAATATTAGTTATCAAAATCCTGACCTCTTTAAATACACTACAACTGATAATACATGTGGCAATAAAAAAAACCTCTGTCAACTTATAAGTCAGGCATACAAAGACAAAAACTGCAAGGGTCATTGTTGTCGGGACTGGTGGCAGTTTAAAAGTTATGGCCAAATATTAACGGAACAATTCTGTTAGTCACACTTCCCTGCTAGCAGAACTCCCTCACAGAAAAAGAAAAAAGATAGGATTGAGAGAAATCTCTACCATTCTTTCATGTAGCCGCCGACAACATTTCCTGGACGAAACTTACTGGTTTTCAAAACAGGTTTCATTTAACGTAGAATACAGACATGCCCCGTTGAGACTGCACGCTGGAAATTTCTGAGCCCATAGTTGTTATTGCACAAACTAGTTCTGAAAGTTGCATTGCACATGACTAAAACATTACTGAAAATGCAAGGTTTCTCCATTTCCTCTCCTTCTTCTCTTGCCGTGATAGACTGTGGGAAACTAAACATGGGAGAATTTTACAATCTAATCAGAATGGAAATTATGGAATCTCTGGAACTTCTTTTTACTTAAAAATAGCTTAACCAAAGCTATCTTTAAGAAAATTAATGTGTCAATAAACACGGAAAGAGATTAATATTGAATAAAATGAATATGACGTGCGCACAGGAAAATTTTAACTACAACTCGTGCTTTTACGGTATATATAGTAAGTCACGTGACGACCATTATTTCCATTCATCGACTAAAATCGTGACCAACAGAATTCTTTCTTTTCGCAACTTTTAATACTTTAATAAAAACAGCTGTAGCTTGATAACAAGCATTTACGGATCGTAAAAATTCACTGGCTTAGCAGCGACCTACATGTGAACTAATCTTGCCGCAAATTTGACAGAAGCAATCTTTTACACAAAATTTGGACAGAGATAAATAAACTAAGTACTGCCGAAAGATTCGTGACATTATCGATCACATGCTCCATCTAGGGCCGTTCAGATCTTTGTTCAGATGTTTTTGCTTTATCTGTGCAGTTGTCCAAAGCACACGCCGGCAGTGATGTGAAAAATCTTCTCGCTATAACTGTCCTCGACTCATTGTTTACAGTATTTGCAACGTTGCTATTGGACAGACCGAAAAAGTAATCTCAAAGATATCGAGCATCCGATTAGCTTACCTTGTTAAGTCGTTTTTATCGCCAAATAGATAGCTTCGATCGCCTTCTTACGAGCGTAACCTCACTTTTGAAGGATAAAATGTTCGATCCACGCTACATTCAGTAACTTCCCGTGTTTATATGCCGGCAAATTTGGATCCCGCCGACTGCGTTGTGATTGGTCATTAGCATTCTGGCGTTGTCTGATTGGTTAATTACTGCTTGCATCAGACAGACCATTGACATGCCTCAAGTCACGAGACTCTCATAAGACTGTCACAGGTTTTTTTGTTCCCGCGCTTCTTCGCGGAGTCAAACAATCCACAAAGCTGATTTTTAGAAACCTAAAAATTAATAGTATGAAAATACAAAACCGAGATTATGTAAATGAAAGAGCTTCAAGTGTTTTGCAAAAAAAAATCCTTTGCATAAAAGAGTATAAGAACCCACAAACAAAACTTTGTTTTAATAAAGGTAGTGAACCCTGTGTGTACAGCCATCCCTTACCCGACCCCCAGAAGCGACGCTTTGGTGGAAAGACGCCGCTGTACACTCGACTCCGGGTGGAGACTGATGAGGACATGTTGCGAACTTACCTACCGTAAACCAGGACTCCTGTCTAAACAGCCATATAGGAAAGGATGCGTAAAGAAAAAGCAATAAAAACCTTACGTAAAGGTTTTATTGCTTTTTCTTTTGTCAAAGATCAGTTACTAGACACTTTTGTTTCCTATTTTTATTTGCAAAATTCAACACAATATATTTCGTTTACTCTCCTAGACAACTCCTAGACAGCAATCATCTTTTTTACTGAAGTGCGCAACCTGCGTTTTATTTTCCCGCCCTTTTCCTCTTCTGTCTGGTAAGCTGACCAATCAGATGCTCTCTAGCTGATGACGTCCAATCTTTGTCTTTTTCCTCGCTTTTCTGCTTTTTTAGCAAACAATTTTTGAAAGGTTCATGTGAAAAGAAAATTTCTTTATTTCAAAGTTTGTTTATCTAGAGAGGGGAAGAAAGAAGTTACTGTATTTGCAGCTTTAAAGAAAACTTGAAAGCCCTCGCTCTAAACGAAGTCGGCAAGAACACTCAGGATTTGGCTTCTGTAGAACTTCTTTAGGTAAGCTTAAACCATATAAACTTATAAAGCTTAAAGTTAAAACTAATCTTTTTAATGAAGTATTATTAACTACCTAAAAGTCTTTATAACTACGAATAGCTGTTTAAAGTGTATTTTTGGTTGTTTGTTTGTTCAAGATATTAAGACGGATCTGAGCGTTTCTGACACTTAAAGGAACAGTATCTCGTTACTGCGCATGCACCAAACTTTGATTTTTGGACAGGATGTCGCGAAATCAAAAGATGCGAGGAGAGTAAGAGAATCTTGAAAAATCCGTTTGCATCGCGCTTGGCCGGGTTCAATACGACACTCAAACTTCTCAGGATTATAGATCAATGATATATTGTTCCTGTTAAGTTTCGATTTGGGCAAAATCTGGATTTTTTGGCGTTACTTTTATTGCCGTTGGCCGGAGGACCAATAGATTGGAAGCGCTTTGATGCCGATTGAAGGCTTCTTTCTTCTGCTAGCTTCCATACAAGCTCAGATAATTGTGAAAGGAATACGCAGAAATGAAACAGCAACAATAAAGACTGTAAGAAAGAAACCGTTGAGAAATTGATGTGACTGAGGAGATCTTGTGGAGGGGAGCTTCGTGAAGCAGAATGTTTTGCAACGACGCGTTAGTAAACTTTTAAATGAATCTCCCTACGGCAGACAAAATCAAACAAACAGGCGCTACATGTTTTGAAAAACTAGTGGCATGAAATCGTAATATCATTTTTGACTAACCTTTGTGATGATTCATAGCGTTGAGATTGCATTTTTATTTTTGTCTTTCAAACGTTTGAGACTAGAACGCGAGCATATCACGCAGATATTACTGGACTTGGAGCGATTGACCTCTGACACGAGTTTCAAATTAGAAAATATGTTTTTAAAGCGAGCGGAACGAGATTTTCGGGTCGCGAGGCGGCCCAGCTAGCGATAAAATCGCGATGAGTCTTCGAACCGCGAGCCAAATTTTTATATAAGACAAAAGACTTCTTCGAAAGTCTAAAATATTACTTGAGAATATAAACAACAAATCTCTGTCGGCGGTGTGGTCCGGAAGGAAATCTTGTCGAGTCAATTTGACAGTTCTATTGTCTTTTGAAGAAAAAACAGATGACGCTCGCGCGTGCGCATAATCGGGACACTGTCCCTTTAAATGATCTCAAATGGAAAACTCGTTGTCAGAGTATGAACTTTTGCGACTCAGAAATATCAAGAGGAACCATGAATTCTTAAAAAGCCTTGGTAAGTACTCAAAAAAAATTGATATTCACTAGATTTACATGCAGATGCCCAAGACAGGAGAAAGGGCCTAATCATCAATTTTACCGAATACTATGGAGAGGGGGAGGGGGGTGGGGAAAGCTTATTATCGTGAAGCCGTGTTCGACCATTTTTGGTGTCAGCGAAACGTGATGTACTGAAAAACTGTTCTGTAAGTCGTGATCAGAAGTGCCCTCCGTGAAACGTAAACTGCCAAAATCCTTGATTGTGTACACGTACATGGAAGACCAATTTACAGCCGCGTGGGGATCACCCAGCCTAGTCCCTAGGCGTTCTCGGCACGGTCAATCCTGGACTCTACCGTGAGCTGTCCCAGACTTCGCGCGGACAACGGGTCAAGAGAGAACGCCTAGGGACTAGGCTGGGGATCACCGTGAGAGATCAACGTAGAGATAATTTGTTTCGTGACTCGTGAAACAAAAAATTGTCGTTCGTCAAGGGGGAGCTAAGGGATGAAAGAGTAAAAGGCCGGACTTGGAGCTACTCTCAGTTTACCATAACCCCTCCCTCGCCAGTTTAAATACCAAACATTTTTGAAAGGATAATACAAAAAAGTCGGGTACTTCTAGCCTGCGTAGAAAGAGTGTCCAATCGAGTTATTGCACGAAAGTTAGAGCGGGGGCCAAACAAAATCATTCCTTTTTATTTTTGTCGTCCCAACTTTTTCGACGAACTCGTGCGGAAACGGTTGCTACGCAGGCTAGGTACTTCTAAAGGTTGCAGGACTGAAGACAAGATTTACTTAGTGCCTTCAGTTAGCAGAGAAGCAAAAATTTCGTCAGCTATGCAGGCACGTCGCAAAATTTCTGAAGGGATATATGTTCAACAATGCATTTTTTCCTGAGCGCTCTAGTGGGGAAAAAAGAGCATTTTTCTGATGAACTGAGTGTTATGCCTTTTTCAGAGTCCTTCGTAAACGGGATGGAGGGTGTATATTTTGCATCAGCCTACGCTAGGCTAGCAAAAGAAACTATTGTCTATTTTATACGGCTTCGTTTTTTTAGTGTTTATACGCTTGTGAAGGAACTGCTCTTTTTTTTTAGGGCTTCCCGTTCCAGCCGTATCAGCGGGCCTTCCTTCTCGCACTCGTAAGACACCTGTAAAGAAGCCTAAGACAGATACCACCATCGCAGATAGTGAAATCTCAAATGAGAGTAGTGATGATAACGATGAAGATTGGGTTCCAGGATCAGAAGAAGTTAGAAGACGAAACAAAATGATCAAAAGATTCATTCCAGGTAGAAGAGATTTTTAATGCATGATCGTCCAAGCAGCACAGAAGGAAAAGATCAGTGTTATTTAATGGAAAAGTTATAACAAAAAAAATATAATATCTGCTGAAAAATAGGTTATACATCATAAACGAAGATTATGAAACGTGAAACCATCTTTTAAAAGATATGAAAAGGCTTTTTCTTTACATGATCTGTTCATAATTCGGGGGGAGGGTGCGGCTACACGTAGGCTATTTTATGATCGTATAGCTTGTGTCTTCTTAGCCTCGTAGCAGGCGTCGACATAAAATGGGGTAGGGGAACTGGAGGAAGGAAAAAAGGGATGGGGAGAGGGGAGAGGGACCACCTCCCTTTTCCCTTTCACGCTTTTCTCCCTCTCTCCCTCCCCTTTTCCCTTCGGCTTCCGCTTGCCACGCAGGCTAGTATCTTCTGTAAGATTTTCTCAACGCAAAATCGTAGGGCCAAGGTGTGAGTGACTGGCTGATACTCCTGATTGAGTTCGGTTCGATTACTGTCGGATACTTCTTTCGTCTGCGATTTGAAGACAGGAACAGTCCTGAAGAAACCAATTTTAATATATTACGTCTATACAAATTCAAACGTGGCTGCGATGCCTGAGGACAGAAGGAATGTATTATTCAGAAGTGATTAATTTTGTTTTTAAATTCCCTGCTCTGCGGCGCTATGAGTTCGAACAAGCTCAGTCTTTCCCTCTATTTTAGAGTTCCGGCCAAGACCTCAGACCGTACCAGTGTTGAACAGACGGAAGGGACACACCATGACGGTGGGATATATGAAACGTTTTTATCATACATTTTTAAACTGACCTAAACTGCCAGATAACACACTAACACAGGTAACGTGCAACGGAAAGTTAACGATAAAGACTGTTCGTTGCTGCAGAACTTATCTAGGTTCTAAGCTCTTTCTTGAACCTTTGGAAATACTGAAGAACATTGATTCACCCTTGCAAGTAACTCCTCTTTCCGTTTCGATAAAACCCAGTTTTGTACTCTGACAGTCGTTCGTTAGTATCTCAGGCATGAGTTGGAAAAAACTTTTATATTTTAGCAAATTTGGCTGAAATCATTAATTAGTCCATCTTTAAGAAGTTGACTTGAACCTGGAAGTTACCTGAAAAGACATAATTATTACCAGAGTTGTAGTTTATCGTTTGTCTTTTTTTATAATATACTAAACACGCAGGAAGATCAGAAAGAAGATGATGACTCAAGCGCGTTTGAAGAACTTGGTCGACTGGGAGAAGAAATAGACTTATTACCAGATAAAACCAATGCACAGCCTGAAAAGCGTCCAGAGGAAAAGCGCATTCAATATACTACCCGAGGAAAAAGGCAGACCTACTGCGAAGCTGAGGTGCCGAATGATGATCACTATATCTGTAAGTTGGACCACTTAGAAACATTTCGCCTTGTATTGGGAAAAAAGCGAGCGAGGGCTAATAAAATGGAAAGCAAGCCCTTTACTTTGGTTTTCTTTAAGTCTGAGTTAATTATCGGAACACAGACTGCTCAGGATAATGCCCTCAAGAACATTTTATACCTGAAAATCATATCATCTATCATTTTATCAGAGGACTGTGCAGTTAGCCTCGTCGCGAAACGTCGCCAGCGGCTAGGAGGGAGGTTAAACGGCTGTTTTCGCAGGCTACCATAGCATCAGAGTGCATCGACCTTATAGGTAAACAATGCAAAATGCGCCGTGGAATGCGATAATGAGGTGATTTTTTGTATTCAATTTAATACACTTCCCAGATTGCGAAGAGTGCCACGATCTCCATTACGGAGAGTGTCCAGTCCATGGTCCTTTACAAATCATTGAAGACAAGACAGTGGGGGAAAGCATAAGAGAGTCCGCTGCGATGGCTTCCACGCCACCTATTCTTAGAATAACTGATTCGTCAATTCCAGGAGCAGGATTGGGCGTGTTTAGAATCACAGAGATCCCAAAAGGTGTGCGATTTGGTCCTTATAAAGGAACAAAGATAGGCTGGGAACACGTAACAGAGGATGCAAATACCAGTTATTGTTGGGAGGTAAGCCGTATCCATCAGTAAGCCATGAGTTGAGGGTGCATGACCTATCTCTCAAATCTGTCAGTGAGCTTGCGTTGACTTGGTGGCCATGGCGAGGAGATCCAAGCATAGCATTGTTTGTGATAAAAATTTCTTGTTTAGCTGGTAGTGGAAAACGTCTGCATTGATCATGGTTGTTAGGACATTAAGTCAGGGAGCAAGTTCCTTAAGGTCAGGGAAAAGTCAGGGAGTTTCATTTCATTGTCCAACATTCAAATTCTTTGTTGCAGTTCCCGGACAGAAAAAATTTAATGTTGGATTGGTATGAGGATATTGTTTTATGAAATTAAACGATAAGCTGATGTAAAAAGCCGGTCTATAAAAAAAAAAAATAGGGAGAGTAGAGACAGGATGGCTGTAAAGGGAGGTTGGAGGCTAGACGTAGAGATAGATGAAACGAAAGTAGTGTCTTTCTTTCTTTGGTTTTAGATTTTAAAAGATGGAAAATTCAGTCATTTCGTAGATGGCCAAAATGAGGCTTGCAGTAACTGGATGAGGTTTGTGAATTGCTCGCGATGTGAGGACGAACAGAACTTGGTTGCTTTTCAGTTCAGAGGAAACATTTATTATCGCACGTACAAGCCTATACCCCCAGGAAATGAATTACTGGTCTGGTACGGAGAAAGTTACGCTAAGGAACTGGAGATCTTGTTGGATGATAAGCTGGTTCGTGATCGAAACTCGGCAAACGGTAGGGAATTTAGCTACTCACTTATTTACTTGGCATCAATAAGATTTAAATGGATTGCAGCTCGGGTATTTGAAAAAAGTGCTGGTTCGGCCTAATAGTTTTTCAAAGTTTGTAACGTTTGATATAATGTTTGGGAGACATATTTGTTCCTCTTGAAGCTGTAAATTTAGTTTTTACAAAAAGCAACTAATTCTTCGCCAGCGTAAGTTCCATGTATAGTACAAAAAGGAAACATAATTAGCAATTAAATGAATTGATACAGCCGCGACACAGCCCGTTTGATGACGGTCAAAAATTACGGTGTCTAACGCCTCACTAGACGGCTTCTTTCTAACAACAGTAACAACACCCATTTAGCCGATTACCTGTCATCCTCAAGGTGGCCTCACGCCTTTGTAAAAGAAAGGAGGCGACTTTACTTGTTTGTAAGTGGTAATTAAATGATACAAAAAAGGCTTTACTCTAGGGATTTTGCCAAAGTCGAGTCAGAAATTAGCTGCACAGGATTTTGATGAAATCATTGATGAAGTAAAAATGCTCAGCCGTGTCAATTTTCAAACTGATGTGACATAACGTTAAGTGTTGTCGCCCAGTTTCTTTAATTATCAAAACGATTATTTTTTCCACAGTATATAGATGCAACCAGCGGTGTTTTTAACCTTCTTTCGTGCACTTGTGACTTTTTTCGAAGTCACCATAACTAAACATTTTACCGGTTTTTTTTTTCAGGTGGCGCATTCACTTGCGAAGGTTGTGGAAGAATTTTTACTTCATTAAACTTTATGCAGAGACATATGAAACATTACTGCTTGACTCGCACAACAAACAGAACATGGGACTGCAAAAAATGTAACAAGAGATTTGCATCGATGCACTATCTCAAGATTCACGAGTGTATAGATTCAAAGGAACAACCGCATCAAAACATCAAGAAGAATAAAAAATTAGTAATCATAACAGACTCTCCAATACTAACACAGGGAAAAAACCGTATCAGTGTATACATTGTAACAAGATGTTTAACATGTTGCACCATCTGACCACGCACCTCCGTACTCGCACGGATCAGTATACACAATGTAACAAGGCGTTTGCCAACTCTAGTGATCTGACCACGCACCTCCGTACTCTCACAGGTGAAAAGCCATATCAGTGTACACAATGTAACAAGGCGTTTAACCAACTGAGTAGTCTGACCACGCACCTCCGTACTCACACTGGTGAAAAGCCATATCAGTGTATACAATGTAACAAGGCGTTTAACCAGCTGGGGAATCTAAACACGCACCTCCGTACTCACACAGGTGAAAAGCCATATCAGTGTACACAATGTAACAAGGTGTTTAACCACCAGTCGAGTCTGACGACGCACCTGCGTACTCACACAGGTGAAAAGCCATTCCAGTGTACACAATGTAACAAGGCGTTTAACCAACTGAGTAGTCTGACCAAGCACCTCCGTACTCACACAGGTGAAAAGCCATATCAGTGTACACAATGTAACAAGGTGTTTAACCACCAGTCGAGTCTGACCAAGCACCTCCGTACTCACACAGGTGAAAAGCCATATCAGTGTACACAATGTAACAAGGCGTTTAACCAACTGAGTAGTCTGACCACGCACCTCCGTACTCACACAGGTGAAAAGCCATATCGGTGTACACAATGTAACAAGGCGTTTAACCAGCTGGGGAATCTAAACACGCACCTGCGTACTCACACAGGTGAAAAGCCATATCAGTGTACACAATGTAACAAGGCGTTTAACCAACTGAGTAGTCTGACCACGCACCTCCGTACTCATACAGGTGAAAAGCCATATCAGTGTACACAATGTAACAAGGCGTTTAACCAACTGAGTAGTCTGACCACGCACCTCCGTACTCACACAGGTGAAAAGCCATATCAGTGTACACAATGTAACAAGGCGTTTAACCAGCTGGGGAATCTAAACACGCACCTCCGTACTCACACCGGTGAAAAGCCATAATAAGTGTACACAAGGCCTTTATCCAGCCACGTCATGGGGCGTTTAGTTCAGGGAACTTGAATGCTTTATCCAGGCAATAACTGCCTGTATTGCACTTTTGAAAGAAAATATAACCTAAGGCCCTTTAGTGACATTAGCTATTGGCCGAATTTGCCTAATCCCTAGGCTTCATCGTCTCGGATACGTCACCGAAAATGCATTGACGAAGAAGGCCTGGGAAGACGCCGTACAGGGACTAGGCAAGCGCAGGGTCAGTCTTTTACACAGAACAGTGACAGGTTTCTGGCAAAAAATCTCAGTAAAAAAAGCATTTTCCCAAAATGAAAAGTCCGGTTGGCCAGTGGCACCGCTATCACATTGAAGTTTTGTCGTTATGCCTGGAAGAAAGGATTCTCCTTTGCCCGTCCGCCGACTTACGCGCTCCACCGGAAAAAAGAACGCCTCAATCAGCAGGTTACAAGCGAGGAACACAAGTCAGGGCTTTCCTGTCATTTTGAGTATGAGGCTGGGCCTAAGCAAAAGCAGGCTTGACAGAGTAGCTTACAGACGGTTAAATGGCTTACGTCGAGAACACACAAGCCTCGCAGAGAGGCTCTTCCCGTAGACTGATTCTCCGTCGTCCGAGGTCGTTCGCGGTCTGCGAAGGGACGGTTCGGCGCGGTTCCAAGCAGCTACCTCTAGTACTAGACACGGTCCAAAGAAAGCGCTCTGCTTCCTCTTCGAGCCGCTTCGATTGTCTAAGGGGTTTAGTTGTGGGAAAATGTTTAATTTTGTCAATTTTTTTCGTAAACTTCTAAACTTCTTTTTGCTGAGAATGATTCGCGCCATAAACTCTGTTCTAAACAATAACACCATGCCAGTTTCCGACTTTTCAACACTAAGAGGTTTTTGGAAAACCTTTTAAAAGTTTAATTTAAGTATATATAGGAATATACTAAACCAGGAGTTTCTGGCTGAAATCTGAAGAGAACTATGAGTAGAAAAAGTGAGTGAACTAGTAAGCTTTTAAGTGTTTTTTTCCTCACCTTTGCAAAGTCCCGGTACCCCAAGGAGCTCCAAGGAAGGAACAAGCTAGAGAGTTCCTCGATGTGAGGTTGAAGACCATTGAAGTGTTCGTGCGGGTGAATATATCAGAATAAATTCGAACCCGGTGGTCAACAAGACTGACGGAAATTCTACTGTAAATAAAGCCGTTAAAGCTTTTAATTTTCCTTTTTCTTGTCGTACAATATTTTCGGCAGTTTCCGCTTCCCGCAATCAACAACCAGCGGAATGTTATTAATCTTTTTGATAACTCATTAATATTTATTAATGAGCGATAACATATCAAACCAACACGGTACGTATATCCGCTTTCAGAGAAACGTGTCTGTGTGTGCTTCAATAATAGCTGCAGTTAACGGCCATTAGAAAAGTTTTGAATGGAATGAACATAGCTGCAGTTACTTCTCTGGAAGGCTTTATTTGCCCGGCATGTTTGGTAGATTTTCCGGGTGCCGTAAAACTACAAGACCACTGGTTGAATTTTCATTCGCCAAACACCTCAAGCGTGCGCGCATCAAAGACTTCGAATGATTATGAGGAAATTCCCGATGATACTCCGTCAAATTCTACATCTCAGGTTTGTATTTTTCACTATTTGATATTTTCCGACTGCTTATCGTTTGAGATGAGCTTGTATATGGCGATTCTACGCGGGTGTTTGTATTCGCTTCGCAGCGGGTTCTGCTTTTAGAAGCTAGCCTCTTGCCCAAGGCGTTCGTTCATTAGGGAAAACATTCAGGGATAACTCAATTTAAACGCTGTTTTGCGCTTTATCGTGAACATCAGGATGCTCTGCTGCAGTGATAATTCTATAACAAAATGTCAATAATATTCTCGTTATATTTATTCGCGGCCATTTTGCTAATAGTTTGAAAGTCGGTAAGGGGTCTCTGAATTTGCAAGTCCTACGCGTGAAAGTATGTAAGCGTATTTGTCTAAGGAAAATTAAAATACAATTTAAAAAAAGACTTAACTACCTTTTAGCTGTACCTGAAGTAACTTACTATCATGTTAAAATAAATATAATTTTCTTTTTCGATAACTGCCTCGCGTACTCTAATGAAAACTGGCTCGAAGGTTTCTTGAGCAAAATATTTTTTATGAAAATCGTCAGAAATATTTTGCATCCGCGGCGCTGTGGTCACCCTTTCAATACTAAGTTTAACCCTCAAAGCTCATATAAGCAAAAAGCTGGAATCTACCGAACTATGTTAGGTCCACACATATTTGATGAGGTATTTTGTAATACGATTCTTTGATCGAGTTTTCCTGAAAACCATGCGCCTTCTCAGTGTTGCTTTGTATCGAATTAACTTTTTTTGAAATCTATTAATCTGATTCTTTGCTCGTATTTGACCTTTTTATTCCCGCTTCAGTTAAATTAAATTAACCCTCAAATCACTTCAGGCAACAAAATGCCTCATTAGCATATGAATGCCAAATATTTATTTTCGTCTAGAAATTAAACTGCTTTGTAGTCAAAATAATAAAACTGTGAATGATGAGTTATTTGTAAACAAATGTTGTTCTATTTATTTTTAAAACTCAATATCTGGTCATGGCAAATATTCTGTTGCAAAGAATGACTTCTTAACATGCCCTGTAACCTACTAATGAATTAGCTGGGAAGTGATAAAATTTATCACTTCCCAGCTTATAATGAAGCAAGTCGGTGTGTGAAGGATTTTGTTAATAGGCCTCTCATAACTCTTTGATTTGGTCAAATCCCCTTGATTACATATGCCCAATTTTGTCTCCCCTTGTTCATTCTGAACAAAGCAAGTCATATTTAAGCCAGGCAATATATGCAAAAAAGAAAAATATATATAATTTAAAATTTAGGAGCAAATAAATAATGAAATGACAATCATAGAGTGAACAATTGCTTTCCAAGGCTGAAAATAACAGCTTATCAAATTATGGACACTGACCACCCTGATCACAGACTTGAGTGGCCAAACTTTTGTTTTCTTGGTCATTTGACTTGTCAGTTTCAGGTTATTACAAACATTTTAAGTTTTCCTGTTCATTGATCTGTTTTGTGGTATAACGCTGCATTAATAGCAATATTTTACTTGGTGGTTTGAACTAAACCCTTTGAGAATTAATTTCATGTTGGCATGCCCAGAAAGCAAGCAACAAACAAAGCGAATTCAAACAAACTAGTCAATAAGCAGCATAATAATAATAATATTGTGAAATAACACACTGTACTTTTAACACTGTCTGCCTTCTTTTAAGTGAAATACAATGCAAACTCACCAAAGGTACTCCCTCGAGGAGCAGAATTTTTTGCAGGGGCTATAAAAAGTCAAGTAGTTTTTACCTTCATCTTGACAAAACTGCTAATAAAAATTAATTATAACAAAAATTAATTCATAACATCATAACATACCCTTCCTTTCAATGTTCAGTTGACGCCTCTGGCTCATGAAAACACAAACCAAGAAAAACAGAAACTGTGTTAATAAATCAGAACAACAATTGTTGAATTTCAGATGGTTCCGTTGTAGTTTTTGTTACATGCTAGAGGTGTTACAATGTATATGCACGTGTGATCAACACACCATTTCTGCTAAATGGGTCATGCACGTGCAGTTGCACAAGAGGTTAAAGCATGTGCAAACAAGAAATTTTGACCTTTACACTTAAAGAAAAAATTCTTATGAAACCTTTAAAACCCAAAATTTGCAGTTCATTGAGTACACGTACATTGTAAGTAACTAATCATCGCCAATTTGAAGAGTAGATTCTGAGATACAGGAAAAGTAGAAGAGTGAAGTTATGGTGGTAAGTTACATGTATGACTACACTGAGCTCTGAATGAATTCTTATGTAACTACAATCTGTACTGTACTAAGAAGAATGAAGTCCAGTGGAACACACTGACATCCTTAAAATCAAGTTATCTATTAAGCTTCATAGTGTATTTGCTCAAATTAAGGGGAAAAGTGAATACTGTAGAATATTATCCAGCTTTCTGCAGAGCTAAAATATGTTTGTCCAGTCATTGTGAAGTGAATTAAGTGAAGTGACAACTTAATATTTAAAGAGGATAAACACTGGGCAGTTTTGATATGAAATAATGAACTTGTGGCCCTTTTAGTCAATTTTTGACTGGCAAGTTGTCATCCTCTGTTTCAGCTTTTATTAACGCATTCTATAAAATACTTAATGTGCCCTTACTTTAAGGGTGGACAGCTTGTGTGATGCTGTGTTTATAATTGCCTTGTGGCTGTCTGCTTTTAGGCCTTGAACGTGTCATAATAACCACTTGTTTTTTGACATAGATTAAGAGTTGTAATATTGTTACAGTATCCTGACCTTGACAGTATAGGAGTTGTTTATTGATCAAAACTTTTACTGACAACTCTGCCGGCTAATAATCATGTGAAGCTTGAATATAGTCTCAGTAGTTTTGAATAAAAGCTTCTGTTAAATAGATTTATTTTTCTTCATTTTTACCATATTCCGCTATCACTTAGGGAAATTTTTGTTTTATTCTAGTTTCATCTTAATGAAGAGAAAGAGAGGGGTGTTGTTTTTTGGAGCAATTTTATGGAAAATTTTATGTTTTACGCTGTGATCTTGTGTTTTTTTTAAGACATTATGGGATTTTGGTATTTTTCAAGTACTTTATTGTGTTGGCACCTCATTTATTTCCTCCTTGAAACAGTTACTTTTGCTGTCCATAATGTGAACATGTCTCTAAATGCCTTGAGACTTAACTGGCTGTTTTTTGACCAGTCCATCAGTGTAATAGCTAGTCTTATAGGCAGCTTACTACTTAAGCCTTTAAGTCCCAATACTGACCAACATCAATTTTCTCCTAACAATATCCATAGATTGTCAAGAGATTAGGTTGTGAGAATTAATATAATGATCACCAAAAGGAAAAATGCTTTGCTCTTTTGTCAAATTCTTTTAACTAATTTGTTCACCCTTTAAGCCCCAGTATCCACATACAAATTCTCCAAACTGATCTCCATACATCTCCTTTAAGAATTAGTTAAGAGAATTTGATAAAAGATCATGGAATTTTCTCTATGATGATCATTGTGTTAATTCTCATAACTTTATCTGTTGACAGCGAATGAATATTGTTAGGAGAAAATTGTTGTTGGTCACTATTGGGACTTAAAGGGTCAAAGAAATGTATGAAGATCAGTCTGGAGAATTTGTATAGTTGATATTGGGACTTAAAGGGTTAACATAACATTGGCTGCCCATTACAGCTTGATTCATAGCAATGATCAAACAGCATGACTGTCAACTCGGAGGATTTGTCCAATCACCACCCTTCCATTTCTGACTCTGATCACAAGACAAATGACATGAAATTTGCCCTTTCACCCCCAGTGTGAATGACTTTTGAAATCGATGATATCCTGTGGTGTGACCATTTGAATGAAACATCTTTGGTGGCACTTTCACATTGCACTATTTATTTTTCAACGTGAAATTTGGAAATGTTGTTGATTAATTTTTTTGATTTTGGTCACTATTGAAACAAACCCAGTAATAAAATTTAAATATTTCAAAACTGGTAACTCAGGTCCTTGGAAACATTTGAAACTTTTTTATTTGAAAAGGAACTACATCATGTATATGTTGTGGTTTAATGTTATCCTTGATTTATATATATATATTTAAAAATTGTTTCAAAGTCATGACTATGCCTTATCATTCATTACCATACCCCAAAAAACAAAAGAAAAATAATAAAATGTAAGCCATGGACCACAACATTTACATTTTTTACAACTTTGATATTTAATGTTACTTTGTCATTGTTCTTGCATTGTTCAATAAATCCTGTACAACAGTGACCAGCTAGTTCAGTGACATTTCACATTGTTAAAAGCTCTTGAATCAAGTGTTGATAATTCTCACATTGATTTTGAAATATGGCTGGAATTCATGTTGTCATTCCAGAAGGCTATAAGGTTTCATATAGTGTTACTTTCAACATGATATGATCATTAGCTATATACTGGCTTTTTTGCTCACACGTAAACTGTTACAGACAGTTGGTTTTGGTTATAGTTTTGGTTACAAATTCGAAAAGCTTAATTCTGTTGAGATTTGCATTCAAGAGAAGACGAACACTACCAAAAATTTAACAATTCTGTGAGTAAGTTAATATTTATATGTTTTCGTGTGATGGAGGTCAGCTTAATTGTCTGATCATGTCTGATCTTTAAGCACTTAGTTCAGTTCAATGCAAGCGTCTGTACTTGTATTGGATTAACTCTTTCACTGCCAAATGTAGCCAAACGCAAATTTCGACCAAACTTCCAAATTTCATTTTCTAAAATTTTGAGAAACAAATAGTATCAGGTGAAAGTACCGGCAGAGAGCTTTCATTTGAATGGTCACATCATAGGATTTGGTCCACAGACTCAAAAGTTAGAGCCACCTTACAAAACCCCGTCAAGCACTTTGGCAGCGAATCCCAAAGGTCAACACGTTGTACCTTTCTCTGAGAGGTTGATCGTTTTAATTAAGTTTTGTTTGCTTGATGAGCTTACATGCATTTTGTTTGCTTTTTAGGTTAACAGAAATCAACGGCTATGTGATCATGTCTTTAAGTCTGACCTCTTAGCTCTTCTAGAGCCATGCGGTTTTTGTGGAAAAGATATTGATGGGGAAGGAAAAATATGCAAAGGTAAAGCTCTACGCTTTAAATTATACAGGCCCGCTACAATCTGTCAGTTCTTCTTGTAAAATTATAGCTGAATCCTTCGCTGTGAAGCCTTTTACATAACATGGTCACCTCTCTGTATTCACTGAATGTACTCTTTGCCCCTTCCAAACTTGTATAATACAAAAACCATGGAGAAGCATACATTTGTTTTCGGTCCATCTGATGTCTGCTTTGGGGAGATCTCTCTGATCCCCTAATGTTAAAAGTATAAAGTAAAATTAATGATACTTATACATGTTTATGTTATAAGTTAATTAAAGCAAATAGAAGAATTCAACATAGCAGTCTAATGTGTTGATTAGAGAATGACATGCATGCATTACCTATAATAAGATCTTGTGAAGCTTAATTTAAATATGGACAGAAATATGCACAAATTTGATCAATTCTTTGACTTTTTTCACATCTCCAACAAGACACTCTTTTGGCCCCCAAGTTTTGCATGGGCTATTCTTTTCAAAGGCCTCAGGAATTTGCAGTTCTCCTAGGACCATTTAAAAAGCATTAGTTTATGACAAATTTGAGGGGACAAGAAGCGGGGGATGGGGCAAACAGAGTGTATTTTGGGGAATTCAAACGCAGAGAATTAGATTAAGTAAATCTACTCGTTTACTGATGTGGTTATTTTTTAATATCAATTTCAGTATTATGATGTTGCTTATTTTTCAGGTTGCAATTACCATTGTCACGACAAGTGTGAAAGAATGGTAGGTATATCATTAATATACAAGGATGAGTTTTCTCCTATTCATTGTACTGTATGTAAAGTACTGAGAAGTCCACAAGTTTTCAGGGATTCATCTTGTCTTCTTGTAGCTTTGCATTTGTTGCATGTTAGTCACTGCCTTATTGTGTACTTGTAATATTTCCAACGTTATAACCCTTCAGGTCCTATCAAAGTTAATTGGCAAGTTCCCTGTAATTGAACATTTTACTGCTTGCATTTTTTAAGGTCAAGGGGTTGTGCAACAGGCAAGGATCAGTGAACTTAGCACAAAATAAATCCAAGGTAACATTATCATCAATATTTCAGTCATTTGTCTCTAAAAAAAATACAATATTATAAACGGTGCCAATGGCTGAATTGCGGAGGAACCAGAGAGGTGAGATCGGACATCAGCATGTAAAGGCACACACTTGCAGCCACTTCAGTCCATGTTTTGATTACACCTCACCCACCCAGACCAATGACGGCACAAGTCTGATAGACCATGACATCAGGGCCTACATCCCCTACTCTTACATACAAACATACATACAAAACCTTTATTAAAGTGTCTAATCATTCTAGTGCCTATTGGCACTAATTGGGGACACCAATGTCACGGGTTCTTTTACGCCCCCTTCCAACTGAAGTACAGGGGAAGGTATTCTGTTTTTATAGTTGTCATTGAATTTATTAGGAGCTAATTCAGAGAGTCTGTAACATTACAGAAGAATTTTCTGAAAGAGGCTCCATGTCTGAATAAAAAATAGCCATAGACTACCGAACGTTAGCAGGAGAACTAGTGTGCATAGTAAACCGAGAATTCTCTGATCTCTGATGCCTAATAAACAGCCTGGCTATCTACTGCTCAAATGGTTTTTGTTTGTACAGTTAGAGGTTACTTTCAACCAGGTTCACCAAGTCTGACTCTGGTCTCTTTGGGATTTTCATATGGGACTGATTTCTGGCCACATATATCTGTGCTGTGCTGTGCATGCACAATAGCAACCGGAATACTAAAATTAATTTTCATTACTTGATTATCTTCTAGTTTGCCATTTAACTTATAATATTAGTAACACAATCCAGCATGGGCTTTTTACTTGGTGCATCAGTTACGTAGGCAAACCAGTTGGGCATTCCACTGCAGCTTGATTTATTAGTTTGTGTGTTTCTGAAGCAACCTTTGTTTATAGCAGAAGGATTAAAAATGGTTTTCTTGTGTTTGCTGTAATTTTTAGTTTTTTTTAAAGGTTGATTGAGTTTATTTCAGTGTCATGCTTGCTGTCACCTGTGAGTATTCTTATTTGTTCCTGTTGCTTTAACTTTTTCAGACATTGCCCGATGATGAAATTAGTAGAAAAACTGTAAGTATTTTACCTAGATGTGTAGCATTTATAAAAATGAACTTACATATAAATTCAACAGATGGCGTGAAAATTAAACGTTCCAACTTAATTATTATTTTGGTGCATCATAGCTGTCTCTCTGTTTATATTTCAGCGAGTTCCATCTTCTCCCAAAAACCTTGTCACAAACATCTGTCATCACATGCGACACAGAGTCTCAAGGTTGGTACAAATTTGTCATGTGCGGCCACAATGTTGATGTCATCTGGGTGTTGGTATTTGTGGACACTTACACAAGCGTGTAGAAGGACACAGAAAGAAAACATCTTCAATTTGTAAACACTACACTCATGAACGCAATGGTATAATACCTGAGCGACTTATTGAGCAGTTTAGCGTCCTGGCTAAATGCAGTAGCAAATTTGATTGCCTTATTAAACAAATGGTTTTAATTAAGAACTTCACACCTTCACTAATTAATGTGCAATCCAATTCCCTGCGGGCCAAAGTTTTCACTCAATGAAAATTAGTTTTTCACATCTCTTGCATTTGCTCGATTGTAATAATTTATTATTCCTATCTCACTTGATAACAGAGTCACGAGGACCCCAAAATGTCGAGTTATTAATCTTTCATTTTTCTTCCTAGTTGCCTGTTTTAACAAAACTCTGCTTAAACAAACAATGATAATGGTCTTTGTTTTTTCATATTACAGAAACAGAGTGCGGCATGTGGATGAACATTTTGATCTTGACTTGACATACATTACTGACAGGATTATTGGTAAGATTGTTGTCGGGCTGTATAAATACCTGGACAACTTGACAATCTACATTGTATAGTTTTTTTTACAGCATTGTCTAAGTCACCAGAGAAAGAACATTTCATTTTGACAATAGTAAATTATTGATATGGTTAAAGATGATGAAACAATACTGTGTTGTTGTTTTTTTTTTGCATCTTAACATAAAAATATTTTCATCTCTCATTTTATGTAGCAATGTCATTTCCTGCATCTGGCCTTGAAACTACATATCGAAATAACCTCAGAGAAGTGGCAAAATTGTTGCAGAAAAATCACCAGGATAAATATATGGTACGATGTGCCTTCTAATATTACTATCCTTCTAATTTTTTTTTATGTGAGTAGTAACTGTTTGTTAATATTCTTCAAGGTGATGACGTAGAGATCCTTTCATGAGTTACTTGGTTTGTGACATGTATATTCCTTACTAGTTACTAAGTTCATGTTCTTAAGCTGTTCAATGTTTCATTTCAGGTATTTAATTTATCAGAGAGAAGATATGATATATCAAAACTTAATCACCAGGTCAGTAATAATAATAATAATAATAATAATTTTTTCACTTGGAAGATGTTACCAAATGGTATAGTTTTGCATGCAGTGTTCTCCCTAAATTTTAGCTCAGCAGGTTGGGGATCATAAAGAGCCAGTAAGGCAAAAAATATGCATCACAGAGGTGTACTTTTCTGGGGGCAGGGGGGAAGTGAAGTGTGGGACATGACCCTGCCCTTAATGGGAAATTTAGGAGCCAAAGGTACTTCTTTAATTTTAGCAAACCTAGGCCGTTGTAGGCAGTAAAAAGTGTTACTTTAGGCAGTAAATTTTACCTGTTTCCGCCTGATAAGGAGAACACTGCATGTTACCGGTAGAGACTGATTATTTTGTCTTTAATTTTTGTACAGGTGTTAGATTTTGGTTGGCCTGATCATTTAGCCCCACCATTAGAAAGACTGTGCAGGTATGATAGGATTCTTGTTTTGTTTTTATCACTGTTTGTCCTTGGAAATCTTTCTATGCGCTTAATTGCATCTGTTTAAAGGAGTTTTGTTCTATATTTAGACTGTCAGTAGGCCTGAAAGCTAGTTGAGATGTTGAAATAATTACTATCGCAGTGGAAATGTTCAATAATAGACTGCATGTAAATGAGGCCCAGCACCTAGTGGGGTGTCGACTCTCTCTTAATGGACACCTCTATAAGACGGACACCTCTGTAAAACGGACACTTAGAGTTGGTCCCTGCCTTTTGTTACTCCCTTTATATGACTCTCTATGAGATGGACACCTCTCTAAGACGGACTCTAAGTGCCGGTCCCAAAGGTGTCCATTGTATGAATGTTCAAAACCTGTCACTTCACATAGTTAAGAGGAAGCAATGTCCCTGTCAGCATTTTACTGTCTTTTCTTGGCTTGCCTTCATCGCTGTTGCGGTTTCAACCCACTTTTGTGCCGTCTGTCACTTGTCGGAATTTTTCCCTAACTGGGCCAGTTAGCAAATGTAACAATGAAAGTTAATAGTTGATCACAAGAGTAGCTCTTGTACTTGGTTGGTAATCAGATGTGATTGTCTAAGTTTCATTTCATTTCATTTATTTTGCCATTAGCCAGAAATACAACAACAGCATACAGAAATACATTAAAGATATTATACAATATTGCAACTAAATCATTTAGAAGATCAAATGTGGTAAAGGCAAGAAAGCCTATATAGAAGCCAGGGGCTTATAAACTATAGGCTTCCTGGAACTACCGGTATAGGGTAAACCGTACAAGTTAAGGGTACTGAATGAAAATTGGAGGAAGTTGGTGTTATATTATAGTTTTAACCAAATATTCCCTCTTGTTTTCTTGAGCATTGTAACAATACTTTTAAAATTTGATGTAATCTACCTTGCAGCATAATTAAATCTATTGATTCTTGGCTAAAGAGTGATCCTGCCCATGTGGTTGTTGTCCATTGTAAGGTAATGGTGACCAACATGAATTTTCTCCCAAGAATAGCCATACATTGTCAAAAGAAAAGGTTATGAGAATTAATAAAATGATCACCAATGCAGAAATGCCTTGATCTTTTTTCAAATTCTCTCAACTAATTCTTAATGGAAATGTATAGAGATCGGTATGGAGAGTTTGTAAGTGGATATCAGGGCTTAAAGGGTTAATACCTTTTGTCAAAGTCACAGTTTTTTTCATCTGACATTCTTTTATCAAATGTGAGGTATCTGGTTTTGAAACAGTATGAGTCTTCATAGCCAATAACATCATGGCTTACCTGACAGATGACCAACAACATTGTGACTTACTTGAACAATCAGGTCAATAACCAGAGTTTAAACTCACTTTGACTCTGAAAATGACTACCGCACCGCTTGTCAAAAGGTCAGTCACTGTCAACAACAACACGACTTCCTATTCAGGACTACATTCACTGGGATGAACTTATGAAATGACTCCTGGGTTTGCAAACCTTTCCCAGTATGATGAGTCTTGTTAAATGAGTCCTTTTGTGTAATCAATAATCAAATACCCTACAGCTGATTTAGCAGATAACTGACTTAAATCTGTCGGTTGCGCTCAATGCATTATTATTCCAATAACAATATCATTTCAGGTTCCTTGCAAAGGTGCACAGTGTGTGTCATTATTTTCTTCAAAAAATGTATAATGTTAGATTCGGTTTTTGTGACATCCTAAATAATCAAGGTCTCAGTAAATTACCTTGAGCTTGATTATTCTGGATATCACAAAACCATCATCCAATAATTATTTATTATTATTATTATTTAGGGGGGGAAAGGAAGGACAGGAGTTGTTATTGCAGCATACATGCACTTCAGCAAGATATGTTCAAGGTACACTGGTACATTTGTATCACTTGTTGTATTACATTTTGTATGTAACATTTTGACAAATTATACACTACACTTCTAAATCTCTTGCTATGATGTGTATGATTTCCACCTACGCCTTCCTGTACTGTACTTACTTGCGCTGTTATCTGGTTTATAGTCCTCAGGCTGCTCTTGACTGGTTTGCTATGAAGAGATTCTATGATGACAGTCTGGGAGGGGTTACTCAACCATCACAAAGAAGGTTCGTGATTTAAAACAAATTGTCAACACCTACCTGTGTGATTACAAAATCTTTTTATTGTTAATAATAAGTGTGTAGTATCACATATTGAAAGTGACTATGAATGTTTTTACTGCGCTTTTCAAAACCAGGGGAACTGTAAACAAAAAGCCGCCTTCACAATTGCGTTTTTCGCTGCCGTCAATCATAATTACGATCACAAGCAAGGAACCTTGAAACACAGAAACACACAAAACGGATCAAAATCCACCAATCACAAATCACAAACCATGATTGACGGCAGCAAAAAACCCAATCGTCAGTTGGCTTTTGAACTTCAGAATTCGCATGTTTGTGAAAAGCGCAGTAATTAATATGTAGTAGGAATCTAATCTTCAGTTTTGATGCCATTATTTTTAGATATGTGCATTACTTCAGTGATTATCTGGATGGAAAGATCAAACTCAACACAGAGTAAGTCACATTAGTTTTTCTGATTTTTTGTGATGAAATGAAGACCAGTTTCTTCCTTACAACAGTTGCTTGTTTTTAAAATCCTTTGGCAGATTATTTCGGTTTAGACTGAATTGGTGTTTTGCAGTACAGTGCTTCTGCATTATAGCATGTGGTGCTCTTATAACATTAGCCTGCTTGGTCCTAACTGTCCTTTTGACATCACTGCCATCAGTCAGTTGTGGGCATAGGTGGGCAGAAGAGACAGAACAATGAACTGGTAACAGGCACTTTATTTGTCTCTCCTCTGCTCGTCTCGTGCTTTGCGCAAAATGCCACGTTCGTCTCTCTTGGCTTAAGTGCGTGTTATGCAGTCTTTAATAGGCTGATTTAGCAACAGAACGGGAACGTCAGTTGACGACGGCGCGCGCAAATCAAACAACTTGCTTGACCAATGGCAGAGCGACAAATTGGGCACCGGAAGTCGTGTTTAGTCCTTTCCGCGCGCTTTCCCGTCGTCAAATGACGTTCCCGTTCTGTTGCTAAATCAGCCTAATAACATTTGAAGACGTGTGAATAAATGAGTGAATATATCCTCTTTAGAAATGAGAAAGGAACTGGCGCCAAAATGTGTCCCTCAATAATTGTTTCTGGGATCATTACAATGATTGACCAATTTTTTCCCTGTACATCATCAGAGTCACAGAAGTCTTCGCGAAATCTAACTTGGGCCTGTTTCATTCACATTTTCAAAGTGGCAAATATCAAAAGAACCAATGAATGCTTGAATGAATTAATGGATGAATGAAAGAATGAATGAATGAATGACCAATGAAGTAATGACTTGCTTGCTTTTTTTTACCACTTACAGTCCCATATTTCTTCATCATGTTATTATCCATGGAATACCGAGTTTTGATGCCCGAGACGGTAAGAACCTGAAATATTTCAATTGGTTCATGTGATTAGTTCAAGTTTCTCGTCTCTTTTCCCAAATTTTACCTTTTACTCTTATAAAAATGTTCTTTTTCCCTGTCAGTTATCCTTTTTCTATAACTAGCTTTTTAAATTTAAAACTAATATTTGGCAAAAACAAAAAACCTGTTGTTAATTTTGCTCTGTTTCATAATGTTTAGGGTGCAAGCCGTTCTTACGAGTGTATGATGGACTGAAGCTGATCTATACCTCAGGAGTATTGTAAGTTTAAGTTTTTAATGCAGTTAGTTTTCTTCTGTTTCTATCTTTGACAAACAGAACTAGTCATCACTTTTGCCACTCTCTTACTCATTCTCCATAATTTTCATGATATATCCTGTTCTTCTTCGTTTTTTTCTGTAGTCACGTGACACCAGACATGGAGCGAATATGTATTACCATTGAAGGAGGTCTCATACTTCATGGAGATGTTCTGGTATGTAGTTTCGTTGGAATTACGGTCGTTTCACTAAAAAGTCGTTTCGCTACAAAGTCATTTCGCTGCATAATGAAGTCGTTTCACTGCAAGTCGTTTCGCCGCATCATGAAGTCGATTCGCCACAACCAGTTTTTTGTATTAAATAGTTTAAAACGATTTAGAATGAACTACAAACGGGTAATAACGAGTTCAGTTAGCGAAACGACTTTACAAATTTGCAGCGAATCGACTTCACTATGCGGCGAAACGACTTCTACGGTGTTTTCAACATTTGACATGAACAAGGTAGTGATACGTCTTAATCGCTCGCTTAAGACGTATCACTTTTAAACTTGGCAATTTTGCAGATTTTAAGGCGCTCCTTTCAGTTGCGTCGACGGAGTTTTCTTAACTGGCCCATGTCAAAAGTGTAAAAAACCGTGGAAAGGACTATTTAAATTGTTCGTAGAAGGTTGAAAGTTGCGTGAATTGGAGAAAAATCTTGAATCATCTGAATTTGTTGCATTCGTTTCTTTGTCCACAGATCAAGTGTTACCACAAAAACACTCTGTCGTCTGGCCGTGATATCATATTTAGATGTCAATTTCATACTGGTGCGATTGTAGATCATGGCTTAGTGTTGGACAAAACTGAATTGGATGATGCTTGTAAAGGAGGTTTGTTTTCAGTAGTATACCTTAAGTGACAGAGGAAGGGAGAAAAGCTGGGAACAGGGAAAGAATAGGGGCACACAAGAACATGATACACTGAGCTTTCTTCACGCAAGAACAAATCTCGCAGCACCCTCAAACAGCGTAATACCACGTAGAGCGTAGTACCACAGGAGAGTACTGCTTAGTAGCTTTCATTTGAATGGTTACACGATAGGATTTCATCCACAGACTCAAAAGTTAGAACCACCTTGTACAGCATAATAAACAGTACCACAGGAAAGTATTGCTTAGTAGCTTTCATTTGAATGGTCACGCCATAGGATTTCATCCACAGACTCAAGAGTTAGAACCGCCTTGTACAGCATAATAAACAGTACCATTGGAAAGTACTGCTCAGTAGCTTTCATTAAAGTGGTGATCTTTTAGTGACATTGTGTATTTCATTCAGCAGATAGAAAATTTCCTGATGATTGTAAAGTGGAGTTTGTCTTTTCAGCTACTGGCAACTTTGTTTCAGGTATGATGTTTCATATTTCCTTTCATTATTTAGAATTATAGCGCGACTGATTTCGCAGTAAACGTTTTTACCAACTTTTTAAAGATTTCTCCATCTTTTTGTTAAAAAAAGCCTTGAAGTTGACGCCAAGGAAAGAGTTGCGAGTTGAAGAAAATTAAAATGAATCTGAACTTTACCTGCTGAGCGCGACAGTCACGCCTGTCAAGCTGACATGTTTGCAAACTCACAATCTTCCTGTTTTTCAGAATTCAAGGATAACGAAAGATTACGCTCAATAATCCGTTACTCGTTACAGCCCATGGAAAACCCGGATACTGTTCTGTACCCCGAAGTGGAGAATTGGTACGACACTGAAGGAAGTTCATCATCTCCGCCACGGGATGCAAGCAGTGCCAAAGAAGGTAAAGCATCCTCGTGGTACTGCTGAATAATTTAAATTTACTAAAACATTTATTGATGCGAAGCTGTATTTAATGGTTACCATTTGAAAGTGCCACAAAGGAGCTTTCATTTGAATAGTAACACTCAAGGGTTTCATCCATAGGGTGAAAAGTTATAATCCCTTCGCAAAACGTAGTAAACAGTACCTTAGGGCAGTACTGTTCAGTTAAACAGCTTATTGAGAAAGTATCTTCCGACATTTAATGTTTGACAAAAAACAAAAAAAATAGTCTGAAAATACAACTGGAAAAAAATTGGCATCAACCCTAACACAATTCAAATCTTCATATTTAGTTATTTTTGTCATTCATGAATCAAAATGTAACAAATCTTGGAGATATTTTTACATTTTCTTAGAGAAAAGAAATGATAGTTGCATTGCAATTTTTTGTATTTATAATGAAACATACCTTTATCACCAAATGAAAAGTCATTTTTAAATATTTCTATTTATGGTTAGTTTTCTTTTCTTGTATAAATGATTTTATTTCAAATGGAAGTTTTTTGATATTGTAGATATTGGTTCTATGTAGAATTTTTTATTACTGCGGGGGTTCATTTGTCAGTCAGCGGTCACTCGCACGAATATTGGTCGATTGGTGTCATTATTAAATTCTTTCGAAACTCAACTGCATTTTATACCATCGTGTTTAACAGTTGCTGTTTACGAGCTGAAAATAACAAAGTTAAAAGAAAGCTTTATGGATGGAATGAGAGTACAAAAACCGAACCGATCTTTATTCGAGCCAATCTCTTCTACTTGCTTCTACGAATAACGATAAATTTATTACACATGAAGTGTTAATATAGGGCTTAAGTAGCGGAGAGAGGTAGTGAAAACACCAACTGCACCACAATGTAATGGGAAATATAAATTAAAGTTGTAGATGTTGGAGGAGATGGAGTTGTTGGAGGGTTAAATAGCGCTGGAACACAGTGAAAAAAGGGTATTGGAGCGAATAGGGTTGTTAGAAGGCGAAATGGGAAACATAGTGCTAAGGGTAGACATAATGAAATAGGTTTCTAGGGCGAAGAGGCTTGTTCGTGGGCGAATAAGCAAACAGGGTCGTGGAGGCAGGCTAACAGGCACATGAATATGAAATCAATGTTTGTTTTTAAATACCGGCATACAGTAGCTTAAAATCATTACTAGAAGATCTATTAATATAAACATGTCTGTTGTGTAAAATAATGATGTTAAATGCTAAATTCTAACTTTTTTGGTGTTACCCTAAAGTAAAATAATATCACTGCGAAATAAAATAGCAATCACGAAAAATCACCTGCCTAATTCGTTATAACAGTGCGTAAACGTTTATTGTTTCTGTGGCCTGCTCTGAGCACTCCAGTTTTCAGGGCATCGAAGAAAGCGCGAAGGAGGATATTGCCGGGAGTATCTGAACCCCTGTGATAAGTGGGGGGGGGGGAGGGTCTGCGATAGGTTGTTGCATACAGATAATTGCTAGGATCCGGGCCCCACCTTATTTTAGGACAAATTGAGACCCGTAGTGGGAAAGGGGCCCCCTCCCCCCCTTATCTGAGGGACTAGATGAGCGGTATATATGTAAACTTGTGAACGTTTTGACAATCATATAAGATGTTTCATTAACCATTAAATACAAATAGTAAACAATTAAAAAAGGCATAAATTTACGAAAAAAGTTCAGTTGCTTCATATTTTAATGACCATAAGAATTAAAAGTCAATGATGCGTGCTCTGTGGCTCTAAAAGTCTGACAAATTAACCCCTTAAAATATATATATTTGTTATTTTCCGTATATTGTAAATATTAATAGGACAGGTTTGTTGTCTTTTGACATGTTTCGATGTTGAGTGTCTAGTTCTTCGACCATTCACCATGCTGCGACGAATATCTTAACACTACGAATGTTTCAAGCAAACGAAATAAGAAAAATTCCTCATTCGCTGCCGTTTTGATGTTTAATGACGTCATTTGGTTGCCGCCATTGTGCATCCAATGCCGTGTTGTTTATAACAGCACAGGTGAGGATTACAGCACCTTGACCTATCATTTTGAAGTGGTTAGAAAACGAGAAAAAGTCTGGTAAAATCTCTTCGGCGTGCGTGGTAAATGGTCTTGACGCAGTTTCTTTATTGAATGATAATAATAATTTTAATAATTGTGCGTCAATGTTTAAAGTACGATTCTATTAATTGTAAATAATATAAACTGATTTTAAAGGCTAGTTTCAGTCAATATTGAGAAAATTAATTGCAAGTTAAACGCCACTCCATAAATTGCAAGGAGACTGGGTACAAGCTGTTTGATTTAAAAATTTCTGGAATCCTTTGAGTAGATGAAATATACAATGATTGGTTAAAGTGGTTGCCTCTGGATACCATTGACTAATCAAAACAAACAGTTGTTTACCCAAACTATCCCAGAAGTCGACGCACCCAAATTTTGTACCATTCTTTCCGTAGTTTATGGATAGGAGAAATTACTTGTGGGCGTGTTTTTATCATGTTCAAAATAAGACGGGGAAAATACGCGTAGCCGAATTGTTTTTGCAGTTGGTAAGACTCGAAATGCAAGTTTCTTTGAACGGATGAAAAAAAAAAAACGTTTTTGTTTGCATATTTTACTTTTGAGAAAATTATAGGTAAAATTTAACTCCGTCTGTTGTCAAGATTTTGAAGACAATCCTTATTTTGTTGGTGTTAAGAATATAATCTTTAAAATCTAATTCAAAGTTTGTAAATCCAAAGCCCTTTTGCATGCCTCAAATGTAACTTTCGTTTTATACTAAATGCAGAAACCGTAAAAAACAATAAATGTTTCATGTTCAATTTTTCTTTAAATGCATTTATTTTGTGTGAATAAGAGAAGGGAAACTTTTACGCGAAAGGCCTCGCTCGTACCCTTGTTTTAACATTTTAAACCCCAATATCCAAATACAAATTCTCCACACTAATGTCCATACATTAACTTATAGAATTGGTTGAGAGAACTTGATAAAAGATCAAAGCATTTCTCCTTTGTTCATCATGTTGTTAATTCTTCTAACCTGTTTTCTTGATGGTGTGATACTCAGAAATGGCCTATCAGAGTAGCCTGAATTTCATCCGATTACTTCGAGTCGAAAACGACTCGAAGCAATCGGATGAAATTCAGGCTACTCTGATCAGAGCTGTTTTTACGCCTAACGAGCACTTTTCGCGTAGATGCCCCCCCCCCCGTCCAAAGGTAGAGAAGCCTATTCATAAAGGAGGGGGAAATGGGTTACTAGTTCCCTCCCTTTCCCTTCCGCCCTCTGTTACCCCACGGGTGTGCCTGCTTGGTCATATATAGAGAAAACTTTCTATGAGGAAAAGGAAAGTGGAAGGGAAGTTTGCCCCTTTCTCTTACTCCTCTGTTACCCCTCGGGTACGCCTCGGGCAGATCCTGGTCCATGTATCATTAGTTGTGGGATAAACGTTACCCCTTTCCTCTTACTCCTCTGTTACCCCTCGGGTACGCCTCGGGCAGATCCTGGTCCATGTATCATTAGTTGTGGGATAAACGTTACCCCTTTCCTCTTACTCCTCTGTTACCCCTCGGGTACGCCTCGGGCAGATCCTGGTCCATGTATCATTAGTTGTGGGATAAACGTTTCCCCTTTCCTCTTACTCCTCTGTTACCCCTTGGGTACGCCTCGGGCAGATCCTGGTCCTTGTATCATTAGTTATGAGATGAACGTTACCCCTTTCCTACTTCTCCTCTGTTACGCCTCGGGCAGATCCTGGCCAATGTATCATTAGTTGTGGGATAAACGTTCCCCCTTTCCTCTAACTCCTCTGTTACCCCTCGGGTACGCTTCGGGCAGATCCGGTCCTTGTGTCATAAGAGATTGAAAACCCTTGCTATATCACGAGGGAAAGTACCCACCCCCCCCCCCCTTTTGAATACGAAACGGGTTAATTGAGTATGCATTTTTCTTTTTATTGTCTTGTGCATAGTTTCCATAATAGACGTTTACGGCGTTGCAAAACAAACCCAAATAACCGAACAAAACAAAACTTTGCAGTGGAACGACTCGCCCGTGGCATGTGGTGGTTCCACTTGTGTTTTGAACCCTATAATGAGCTAAAAGCCACGTGATTGGCTATACCGTTACGTTTTATTGGTTAGGAAAATGGCGCGAAATTTCCAGCCAATCACAAGCGTTGAAACGCGAAAGTAAAGTAGTCACGAAAGGTGCTTTCGACACCCAATTAAAAGGGTGTCTTACTATCAGATAATCAAAGTTTCGATACTGAGTTGCAGTTACACACTTTCTATTGAGTGTTCCCAGCATGTGTCATAACATGCAGTGTTTAACTTTCCTTGCGTCTGACATTGGCTCCATCGGAGCGTCCTCGATTGCAGAAAAAGGTGGGTTTGTGTTGCATGTTTTCGAGAAATTTCACTGTTTATTTACAACAGTCTTCTCGAGTCTTATTTCTGCACCATTGCGCGCGTCTGTTTCTTGTGCATGCTCTAGCAGCTTTTAAATTCTTATTGGAAGTCTTTCGTATTTCCGCCTCACTCATAAGTTGAATCTGACCACGAATAAGTATCTCAACTCTCTCCTTTACAGAAACAATGGTGATCAACACAACGTCATAAAAATCATATAGTGTGGTAATTGCAACGAAGCCTTATTTAGACTCCTTTGCGTGGCCCTAACATTTAAAAAACAAAAATTTCAACATTAATTCGGGATTTTTTGTGATTTGACTTTGGCCATTAGTGGGAGACAATTTTTAAGTCGTTGTCTGTGTTTCATCGTACGTGTACAGTAGAAAACAGAAATGTAACAACTGTGTATCTACGTCATCCAGTATTCGAACATGTTTCTTGTCATCGAACACTTCAACTACAACTGCAATATACAGATTGACAAATAATAGAAATTCTTCAAACCTTCAGATACAAATGCGAGCGGATTAATGTGTTTTTCAATAGCGTAACCTACATGTGCATACGTACATAGTCTAATTGATGACACATTCTGTTGCCGGCAGCTGAAACGTGATGAGGACCTGCGATAAACGTAATTTCGACCTAATTAAAATGCTCACAAAAAGAAAACATCCCTGCATTATGTTAGTCCAAAAAAGAGCAAGATCCCAGAATAATTTTCCCCATTTTTCTAGTAAATGTTTAAAAGTCTTTAAAATATTTAAAATAAGTAAAATCTTTGTTGCAAACAAGAGCAAATTGTTGAAAAGATAAGTTCTCTGTAGTTGGAGAAAGAGAACGAAGTTTGTCTGTTTGACAGATGAATGCGAGAAGCCTGTGAGGTGAATATAACCTTAAATGACTTAAATACAACACTGACCACAACAAACGGTGCCCTTCTAGGACTTTGTTTGAATGGTCACAGACTCCAAAGTTAGAACCACTTTTGTACGTTATGTTTTATATATAAACAGTACCACAGGAAAGTACTGCTAAGTAGCTTTCATTTGAATGGTCACGCCACAGGATTTCATCCACAGACTCAAGAGTTAGAACCTCCTTGCATAGTTTTGAAAAAATACAGGAAAGTACCGTTTAATAGCTGTCATTTGAGTGGTCATAATGGGGATTTTATGCTGTCATTGTTAATTCTCTCACGTGTCGGTTTGAAAAAAAAATGAACGAGGACTTAGCACTAATCTTCGTGAATTGTATTTTTTTGGAAGTTATGTTATTGCCGACATGCATCACAGCACTAGCTTTGCATCTTCAAGTGTTTGTGCATAAAAAAATAAAAAAAATATTTGCAGAAGAATTAGAAACAAATAACTAAACTACAATGTAACCTTCAGTGACAGTTCAATTCTCTAACAAAATACAAATATAGTATTCTTGGATGAGTTTAAGGGTTTTGTCGTTTTAAAATTTCAGTTCTAAGAATGTCAGGTTATTTTTAGAAATATTGAAATATGTCTTATCTATTTAATTAAGAAATTTCAATTTGATGAGATTGGTGTCGATACTTATCGCTTCTCATAGTAGTAAATATATTGATTTTGTTAACCGATCGTGACATTCTGTGCATGCTTTCTTCTTATATTTTAACATTTTGTCCAAAAAAATATACGTCCATTACTTTGCTGTCTCGACTTTTTTTCTGTCCATTTCTGATCGACCATGACATTCCTCTGTCTGCCGCGAAAGTTATTCGATCTGTATGCGACGAAATCTGCGCTAGATTATCAATTTCATTTCTAATTTAATACCAGAGTTCACTGGGTTGTTGCCAGAGTGGTATGAACTTTAATTGTTTGTAATTAAGTTAATTTAATAGATTGGCTCGAGTAATTAAATAAATAGAGACTACTACATCAGATTGCAATCGCTAAATCTTCAATTGAATATATAGTCCCAGTCGACCGTCGTAAATGGAACCATCTAGTTCTACCCTACCCTGGGTGCCAGAGACTTTTCTAGCGCGGTTTCCGGGCCCACGGCCGAAGCTGTGTCGGCCTTCGGCGACACCGAAAATTCCTGCCGCACGCGAGAAAAACCTCTGGTACCCAGGGTAGCTCTACCCTAGTTCTGCCAAAGAGACCGCACAACGGATATGAACCACTTCTTACAGAGGTGTAGAGACGTGTGATGCTCTTTTTTCGTCATTTGGTCAAGCGGTTGTTTCATCCGTACACGTCAAGTTACAACCTCTTGCAGAGGGGTTGGGAGACTTTAAGGGGAAGGGGTTGAAACAGACGCCCATTTCCCTTTGCCCTGTTACGTCTGTTGCGCTTGCTGGACAGGAAAGTACTGCAAAATACACCATAGGATCTCATCTACTGACTCAAAACTTAGAACATTTTTAGAACCACCTTGTACTGCATAATAAACAGTACCACAGGAAAGTACTGCTCAGTAGCTTTCATTTGAATGGTAACACCATAGGATTTGATCCACAGACTTAAAAGTTAGAGCCACCTTGTACAGCATAATAAACAGTACCACAGTAAAGTACTGCTCAGTAGCTTTTATTTGAATGGTAGCACCATAGGATTTCATCCAGAGACTCAAAAGTTAGAACCACCTTGTACAGCATAATAAACAGTACCACAGGAAAGTACTGCTCAGTAGCTTTCATTTGAATGGTAACACCATAGGATTTCAGCCAAAGACTCAAAAGTTATAACCACCTTGTACAGCATAATAAACAGTACCACAGGAAAGTACTGCTCAGTAGCTTTCATTTGAATGGTAACACCATAGGATTTCAGCCAAAGACTCAAAAGTTATAACCACCTTGTACAGCATAATAAACAGTACCACAGGAAAGTATTGCTCAGTAGCTTTCATTTGAATGGTAACACCGTAGGATTTCAGCCAAAGACTCAAAAGTTATAACCACCTTGTACAGCATAATAAACAGTACTACAGGAAAGTACTGCTCAGTAGCTTTCATTTGAACATCATAGGATTTCATCCACAGACTCAAAAGTTAGAACCACCTTGTACCGCATAATAAACAGTACTACAGGAAAGTACTGCTCAGTAGCTTCCATTTGAACATCATAGGATTTCATCCACAGACTCAAAAGTTAGAACCACCTTGTACAGCATAATAAACAGTACTACAGGAAAGTACTGCTCAGTAGCTTCCATTTGAACATCATAGGATTTCATCCACAGACTCAAAAGTTAGAACCACCTTGTACCGCATAATAAACAGTACCACAGGAAAGTATTGCTCAGTAGCTTTCATTTGAATGGTCACATCATAGGATTTCATCCACAGACTCAAAAGTTAGAACCACGTTGTACCGCATAATAAACAGTACCACAGGAAAGTACTGCTCAGTAGCTTTCATTTGAATGGTTACACCATAGGATTTCATGAGACTCAAAAGTTAGAACCACCTTGTACAGCGTAATAAACAGTACCACAGGAAAGTACTGCTCAGTAGCTTTCATGTGAATGGTTACACCATAGGATTTCATCCACTGACTCAAGAGGTTAGAACCACCTTGTACAGCATAATAAACAGTACGATATTCACGACTCAAGTGTGGTTGTGAGGCGTGGAGAACAGGCTAGCATTTTGTTGAACAAAAGGATAGCTTTTGTTTTTCATTTTTAGTAAACTCCGTAGAAGTTTTTGTTTTTTAAAACCGCGTTTTGTTAACTATAACTGAATATATGTACCAAATGGACTTTTAATTAGTTAATGTTTACCCTCGATATAATCACTCCTTTGTGTAATAAGCAGCTGTATCGACTTAAAGCTCGAGCTGAAGTAAGATATTTTTCAAAACCTGGCCTTTAGGTAAAGGATACAATTTAAACATAGGAACAGATTTCAATGGAGCGCGCTCCAGGAAGACAACAGTCGGAAAGAGACTCTTTACAACGTCTTGTTTCCAGGAGAGAAAAGTCATTGATGATTTACAGAGGAGATGAGCACGACTGGATTCGAAAAGGAACCACCTTTTGCTGGGCATTGAACGTACTGTGCGTTCCATCTGTCTCTTAACTCATCGGCCAAGGTGAAAATTCGCCAAAATTTCCAATTTCTATTCTGTAACTGAGTTCCCTAAAAAAAAAATATCATCATTCCAACGGTCTCTTAAAGAGGCTTTGTTTCAATACACTTTTGATTAAAGAAGGGATGAAATTATTTATTTATTTACTTATTTATATAGACTGCAAAACAGTCTTTTCTTTTTTTCTCAAAATCAGTAATGAAATCGGTAAAGCGTGGCGTAAGTCTTACGTGCGCGAAGCTCGCGAGCCTCACACGCCCGTATTTTTAGCGTCTCTCCCCAGTCTCGCTCGCTGTTTTCAGCTTCGTTCCAGACCTCTTTTTTTAGTGCTTGCGCGTACTTGAATATGCCAAAATACGGACTGTTTTGCAGTCTATCATTTATACTGAAAGGCAGATTGTGTTGTAAAAGTGCTGGTAAGTGGCTTCATTTGAACGGTCACACCATAAGATTTTGACCACAGGTTAAATGAAGTTGACAAGGTTTACTCTAAGCTATGTGGACTCTAAGATGTCTCCGCCTTTTGACAAAAAGCCATACGCTATAATTGTTTTTATTTATTTCATGCAAGTGGTTTATTTGTGTACACACAAAAAAAAATTAAAGATCGTCAAGCTGTTTTCTTTGTTTTTCGACATAAAACACACCCCTTCAAAATAAATCTTTTTTTAAATTTATCTTATCTTGAACTGCATTATTTACTTTGCGAACTTCCAGTGCGTGTTACTGCTTAAGCCAATGTGGTCTCTTAATCGCCCATCTTGATCTCGTTTCTGAGTTAGTTCTCGCTCTTAATTTTTGACACCTTTCGTTGCTTTCTTACACAAGACTTGTGCCAGTATGTCTTATCAGTCCTGTGCCAATTACATGGCTAAATCTTCGAGTAAATACGGCTATTTATTTTCTTTCGAGTAAGTTCGGCTATTTATTTACCTACGTTAAGTTGAGCGTTACATATGGGTAGAAATTATTCCGTTTTGTAAAAAACCGGTGTAGGTCACAAACGCTGTTTCGTTTTTATTTAATTTTTCTTTTGAAAATGGTCACAAATTGTGCTGGTTATGCCAGTAAAAATGTAAACTTGTGCTGTTTATAATCCCAAATAATTAGAAATATTCAATAGTATCAACGCTTATTTTCTTTCATTGGTAGATATCACATTTAATTTCCTCTGGCACTTTTGATTTTTAATGAAACACAACTCCTGACAAATCGAACTGTACATGTAAGACTCGTAACACGAAGTTCAACTGATATTTTATCGAAATCTCATAACTCTTGTCCATGATGAATAATTAGAGTACAGTTTAGAGATTTCATAGATTGATAGGCACGTACATCTATTTTTGTAGCCTATTACATCGACATGACCTAAGTTTTGGGCCTTTGGACGAAGTAATTTCGTGTGGCCATTCAACTGAAACATCCTCAGCAGAGCGTGGGCACGTACCATTTATTTTCTGTTTTCTCGCAAAAAGTGGTGAATTTTTGAGAATTTTTGTTGTGGCCAACGGAGTGATTAACTGAAAAAGGTCAATGGATACCCAGTTTGTATCGATTTGAAGAGGCGTAATTAGGAATTGATGGAATGGTTTCCTGTGTCCTCGAGATAATAACATGCTTTATCTTCTAATCTTTCGTTCGGCTTGTTTAAGTTAACTGATCAGCGTGCTTTCGGTATGTTTTCAAATGTAGTTTTTTCCTTTTTAACAGTGTTTTAACGGCGGATCCAAAATGAAATAAAAAGCCGACAAGTAATTCGTGACCTGTCACTTTGGCTTTTATTTTGTTATTAACTCTTTAATGATTTCGTGTGAAGTCGATATCATCGTTTATTTCCCTTATTAGCATGCGATATCGGACTGTATCATGCACGATAGGCTTGGTTGTGTTCTGAAATAATACAGATATCTTGCTGAGATATGTTACGACTGTGTTCAAACAGATGTTAATTTTAACTGTGTCTCGCCTGCAGTCAATACGGCACTTATTTACTGCTTTGGTAGACGGTATTTTTGATTACTTATGATAATAAGCCTCCAGGGATGTAACCCTCAGTTATCACATACTTGGCTAAATTCCTTTGCATTGTTATTTAATTAGCTGTCCACTTTGACGCATTCATCCCTCACAAGGTGTTTCACTGAAGGCACGGTCTTTTCAAGGTTATAGTCCGTCCTGCCACTGAAATGTCCTTAATCCTCGTAAAATATCACTTATTGAAAACTGTTCCTGTGCTCTTGATCTGGTTTTGCGCTTTCTGAGAATCCTACGCTTATGAACTCGGCTGTATTAAGAAGTGATTTCAGTACAGCAAACGGATTCGTTTTGCACGGCTAGTCTGCAGAATTCAGCAAACTGGTAAGAAATATTTCCTTATTTTTTTCCTTTTGTCTAAAACGTGTGGTTTATAAATACAGGACCCTGATGTGAATAGTTCGTGGTGCTTAAAACGAGGATTAGAGCCTCGAGTTTGCGGTTAATAATTGCTAAGATTAATCACTTTTGAATAATTTGTATGTTGTTAACGCTGTAAATAGTTTTCTAGGTTCGAGTGCTATAATAAACGTTCTGAGTTGTAGTGAAATTTAGTACACTAAACAGGGAAATGCTTGCGTTACTTTATTTCTCTGATGTGCTGAAATAATTATTCGCATTTTAATTTCGTTAGTGTGACAGTTTTCTTGTTAATCAAGTAAACGCATGAATTTCAGCTCGGTAGATGTAACCTCAGTGAACTCGAATCATTTAATTGCGAGCTGGTTACTCATGGAAACATTGTAGTCTTTCTCAGTAATCTGGAGTCCTGCTATGCAATCGGAAGTAGGCCTTCTGGGTTAATCCGTTCACTCCGTCAAAATCAACAATCAAGAAAAATCTCAATTTCTGTTCTGTAAAATGTTACAGAAAAAAAGTCATAGATAATCGTTCTTCCAAACTGTATTCTGAGTGGTCGCGCGGTACCGTGTTCTCTGCATTAGTGAAGAATCGTAAATTCCGTGTCGAGAATCCTGGCTTTCTCATCGTTTTTCTGTCGTTCGAATCAGAGTGACCTGAAGCGTGACGACTTCTCAAACTGAACCATGTGTTTGTACATTCTTGAAGTAGTTTTTATTGTGTTGTGCAATTGCGTTTTGTCTTGACTGACTTTATTTACTTTTTGGGGTTAAGTCGTGAATTCTCTCTTAAAAAGGCACCTAGTTAAAACTTAAGATAAGATTGAAGAATGAAAACAACTAGCCATTTTTGCAGAACAAAACAAACAAACAAACAAACAAATAAACTATGTATAAACAAAACTAAACAAAACAAAAAAGCTACCGGTAATTTAAAAAAGAATACAGTGACTGACCAAATGGCTCTTAATTATCCTTAAAATACCGAAGAGTATTCATCTAGCTTGGATAGCAGTTAATGAGTCTGTGGATGAAATCCTATGGTGTGACCATTTAAATGAAAGCTACCGAGCAGTACTTTCCTGTGGTACTGTTTATTATGCTATACAAGGTGGTTCTAACTTTTGACTCTGTGGATGAAATCCTATGGTGTGACCATTCAAATAAAAGCTACTGAGCAGTACTTTCCTGTGGTACTGTTTATTATGCTGTACAAGGTGGTTCTAACTTTTGAGTCTGTGGATGAAATCCTATGGTGTGACCATTCAAATAAAAGCTACCGAGCAGTACTTTCCTGTGGTACTGTTTATTATGCTGTACAAGGTGGTTCTAACTTTTGAGTCTGTGGATGAAATCCTATGGTGTGACCATTTAAATGAAAGCTACTGAGCAGTACTTTCCTGTGGTACTGTTTATTATGCTGTACAAGGTGGTTCTAACTTTTGAGTCTGTGGATGAAATCCTATGGTGTGACCATTCAAATGAAAGCTACTGAGCAGTACTTTCCTGTGGTACTGTTTATTATGCTGTACAAGGTGGTTCTAACTTTTGAGTCTGTGGATGAAATCCTATGGTGTGACCATTCAAATGAAAGCTACTGAGCAGTACTTTCCTGTGGTACAGTGTATTATGCTGTACAAGGTGGTTCTAATTTTTGAGTCTGTGGTTGAAATCCTATGGTGTGACCATTCAAATGAAAGCTACTGAGCAGTACTTTCCTGTGGTACTGTTTATTATGCTGTACAAGGTGGCTCTAACTTTTGAGTCTGTGGATGAAATCCTATGCTGTGACGATTCAAATGAAAGCTACTGAGCAGTACTTTCCTGTGGTACTTTCCTGTTATGCTGTGCTAGTCCATTCTAACTAATCTTACCTGCGTATGAAATTCTAGCCATTGCCCAGTAACATTGCTTAATGCTAAATTGTTACTTTGCATGTTGTTAGGTCATACATTTATATAATAAAAATTGAAAGCCCGCTTACTATGTTCAGTTTTTAAAAAGAGAATTTTCAGCTGAACAACATTTAAATTACTCCATCCAATGACAATGCGCAGATGATTAAATAAACCAATCAGATCTTGAATTGAGTACGTGTATAGTGTGGCCAGTGTTAAGCGCGGGAAAAGCAACGCAACCTTTAACCAATTTTTTTTTCATCTGATTGGTCGAGAAATTGGCGCGAAAGTATCACAAATCGTATCTGTACAAAATCAAAGAAGTCACATGATTTCTTTCGTACTTTTAAATTTGGAAAGGCTGACCACACTAGAGTTGAATGTTATCAGTTGTTATTTTGACATTTAACATTTGTGCAGTTTCGTAGGAGAAAATTATTAAAGGAAAGAAACTACCAAAAAATTTTACAAAGATTCTGATGAGTTTCTTGAATGGAAGCCAACCCAGCGTAACGCGGGATACAAGAAATCAAATCAAAACGAACGAGTGTTTAGAGCATCTTCGGAAATGTTCGGCTTATCTTCGGTATCCCGAGAAATCTTCAAAATACTTCGTATCAATTTCAGCACTCTTCAGAAGAGCAACGGATTTCCTCACAAATCCTTGAAATAATGGGAGTTCCTTAGGATGTTAATGAATTTACAGTTGAATAACTTTTTAGTAACACCTTTGAAGTGAAGCCACTCTTTCTCTCTTTTACATGGTGCTAATGCCCCCCCGGGGGGGGGGGTACTTGGGTTAATTTTTGCTGGGTATGTACCGCTGGCCTCTCAGAGCCTCTACCCCATTATAGTCTATTCTGTGGCCAATTATAGACCCCATCTTAGTCACTTTTGGGCAAATATGTAATTTTCACGATCCCAACTTAGTCACTTTCTATTTTTATGAATTGACCCATTTTTTAGATTGAATAAAGAATACTTTACTTTTCACCTGCAGTACAAACATTCTGGTACGTTTGCTAGCCGTAAATATGAAGAACTACCTTACCCCCAAAAATCCGAAAATGTGCGACCCCATCCAGCGGCAAATCCCCATGTTTTTATCTTATTTCTAATACTCATTTCTTGCTGTTATATTGTATTGTTAGTTAATCACTAGTCTTAATTTTTATAAATTGTAATTATCACACGGCATGTCTGAAAACCAGCTTGCTGAGCCATTTACCGTGTTTGAATAAAGTTGATTGATTGATTGATTGATTAGCCTCTTATAAGGAAGTACCCCCTCTCCCCCCCGGTGGGCTGATGCCAGGATTTCAGTTCTTACTTAGACTTTTGGTGGCGGAAGGCGGAGAGTATGTTTTGTATACTCCCCCCACACAAAGCTCACGTCAACTGATGGGGTATTCTGTTACACTGTCAACAGACCCCTAATTTCAGTAGAGGGTGATTATGTCGTCAATTCTCATGACATCTGTAATTAATGATTCGTTGATGCTGCAAAGAGAAATTTAGTACTGATCATTACACAGTGTTAGGGATAAAGGTGCGAGGTCACGCAATTTTAAGCAGTTTGTTTTTACCACAGTCCTGGATGGAATTCCTCAAAAAAAGGTAGGACACCTTGTGACGACTACACAATTTTATGTAAGACTTCATTCGCTTTGTTTCTTGAACCTAATCACACATAACTTCACCACAAGCTTATGCTACATTATGTATGCGTCATAAGGTGTCCGACCTCAACCAACTTGTCGCAATGTTAAGGCTACAGTTAAGAATTTTGGAAAAGAGCAAAACGAAAATTGGAGAAAAGGAAAACGGGTTCCTTTCGGGGAAACCTGTATACGTTCGCCTGAATTTCTCCAAGATTGCGTCAATGATATTGCTAGGAAAGGATGTTTGCTTTGCTTTTTAACTGAGTTTCTGGAAGCTGTCTATTAGCGAAAATAGAAAACACAGAGACAACGAGTAATCGAATGGTTAACACAACCGCAACCACATGAAAATATTTATAGTATTTTGTCTTCACGATTCGGCAAACAACAAGAAGTGATTGTAATCAGTAAATACGCGTGCATGATCTGAAATCAAATCTCTTTCTGGTGTGAAGTATTTTTCGGACTCTGCGTGGTCTGTTAGCTTCTGTTGTTACGAACTCCAGCTTTTATTTAGCATTTTCGAAATTCTCCTATTTAGTGTTATTATTCTAGATATTTTCTCTTGAAGTTTATAATTCTCGTTGGGCTTAACGGGAAATTTTCTTTAAATATAACTACAGACCACGTTCCGTTTGAAAAATGGTTTAATTAATTCAGTCTTAAACTGTTGTAAGGTCAAACTTGAAAACTCAAGAGTCTTTTTTCTTTAAAATTTCCTGTCATGAAGACAAGAACCGCAAACAGCGAAAAGGGAATTGCAACCGGTTATTCATAACTATTTGAACTGTAGCAGACCCAAACGTTATAGCCGTATTTCATGAAAAGTTCTTTATTTCGAGTGTGAAGGATTTGCGATTTGTTGTGGAGCTCTTAAAACCCTTATCAGTAAATCTTTGTGTTTTTATCGGCATATCTTAGATTATGCTACGCCTTTTATTGAGTTTTTGAGAAGAATCAGTCGGACGCAAGGGGATCCGCAACAATTCTACCTGTCAAAAAGAGATTGTTGATGCTAGATATTCTATTAAAATTGTCATGTATAACTTGCGATTTAACCAATTGTTTTTCTGTTTCGATAACGTTTCACCCCCAAAACATTCCCCTTTCCGCCTCCACACTTTTTTCAAGTATTAATCTCGCGTGACCTTTTTTTGAAAGGAGGGATAATTATGACCGTCTTCCTGTATTTTCTTTATTGAAAAATCAGGCGTTGAATTTCAAAGTTGACATGAATCGTTCGTGTAAAGACGCTCAGTGCTGATGCTCGTGCGACGATCGGAGTTTTTGCCAAAGCAAGGATTATCCCCCTCGCTTGTTGCCAGTCGAATGTTTTAGTGGCTCTCAACAAAGCTTCTGTTGTTCATAAAAGTGCTTACAAAGATTTCTTGGAGAAAAAAGCCAAAGCAAACGTGTTTACACTGGAGCTTGGAAAGAGGACTCGATCTTTCAGCGTACAACTCTTCGCCACAGGTTCCGTACATGTTTGTTTTTGTAATCAATACTAAATTCTTTGCTGTGCAAAAAATCACCGACCAAAAGGCGAAATAAGATCCAACAGAACTGTTCCAAATGTTCGGAATACTTACAACATTACTCATTGATTCCTTTTCTTTTAATTCCGATGTTGGTTCGCCGGGTTTATATCTGTCAAACTGAGCTATTTCACTCGTTTGTTGATTAGTAACTACTCTGGTGGTCGTATAGTAACAATATTAGATTATATGCAAATTTTGTCAGTGTTATGTTTAACTCTGTCTCTTAATAGTTGCCGATGTAAAAATTTGACAAAAAAATTCCAAATTTGTTCGTCAGAATCCTTAGATTTACATAGCAATATGGAAAAGGTATACATTTGAATGGTAACGCCAGAGCATTGCGTCCACAGATTCAGAAGTTACAATGACATACCGTTTCATCATTACTCGGTCCTCCTGTAATTTAAAGGCCGGTTATTGCCAGAAGGAAGTTTGGCGTGGGAAAATACACCAATCAGTGACCTGTCCCAATTTGGTAGCGCAAAAATTTTCGCTCAGCGGTCTAGGGATAGAGTTCATTATAGCGTGCTTTCATTGTATGTAGGTCCTACACTCTAGTCTGTTACTCAAGTCTTTAATTTCGTTATAACCATTCTGACAAAACTAGTTGCGTGATCCTTACAGTACATTTCAAAGGCTCTTATGGAGAAATGTTACCTTTTTCTAACTTTTTAAACAATCGATGAAATTCTTTGGTGCGATCAAAAACATAACAGCGGATAATTTTCCACGATACTTTCCATTATATTTTTTTCTTTTCCAATTTTTTCCACTTTATCAGTGATAAAAAAAGCTTTCAGCGATCGCGGGATTTGTAATCGGAAGGGCACGTCGCGCGCTCGGAAATCCCGGCTCGTGTGGCCTTTTAACTTTTTATGGAAACATGTTGTTTTATTTCGCGCTTTTGTAAGTGATCCCTGCTGTAAGTCTGCCGTCTCCTCCATGGCGAATTAGAAATTCTTCGGATCGTTTCAAAGATCAAGTTACTGGCACAAATACTATCGGGCGGAATTTCTTAGTTTACGCCTTTGAGCTTCAGCGCGCCTGTTCTGTTTGATTTAGTGGTGAGTCTATTACCGGCTGCGTATGGCTATTCTTCCACCGTTACGGTTCAACCGAAATGGAGTGGGTATTTACACCCCTCAGCACTGTAAGTGCGGTATTTTCTTCATTGTTTGCTTTTAGGAAGATTTCGTGAATTACGCAGAAGTATTTTATATATTTACCTTGAGTCAAATCGACGGCGATAAGTGCGTCGCAATATCTTGAATAAGATTGCTATCACTTCCGTTGTATTATAACGTAAACTTTTCTTCTTCGATGTTCCTCGCTAGTGAAATATGTCTATGAACAACTTAAATAATACTTGTGAAAAGTTACCGAAGTCAATATTATCTTCGTGCTATAGAGGTTTGTGGGGGCATCTTGATGCACTCTGTTATTGGATTAATGCTCCTTTGCTGTTTTCGGAATTCTTGCTGTCTAACAGTTTTGCGTTTTCTTGGCGAAGACAGTGTTTCGGCAAACGTTTGTTAGCAGTTTTGTTTATCGAAAAAAATTGTAGCTATTCGGATACTTCGGCGGAAGGTTGAGGTTCCCGGCGTTGTGTATTTATTTTCTTAAGCTGCCACGAGTAGAATTTCCATGTGGAAAGGGTTGTAGTTTGAAATATCTCAGCTATGTGTTTGATAGTAAATTCTGCAGTTTAACCATTCGTAAGTACGTAAGTAGTTATTCACTCAATCCACTTCATTGTAGATCACAAGTCCGATTACTCAAACGGCAAATTTGAAGAGAGTTCAGTTACAGGAACAGGACAGAGCCACAGCCTGAAACGTAAGTGAAGATTTGTAAACAATTGAAAAAAACAAAATTAAATTTCATTTTGCAAAAGCCTTGAAATAAATATTACCTTGCAAAAGTGCTTCTGAAGAGGTTTCATTTGAATGGTCACACCGTAGGATTTCATCCACAGACTCGAAGCTATCTTGTACAGCATTTTTAACAGTACCTCAGGAAAGTACTGCTCAGTAGCTTTCATTTGAATGGTCACACCATGGGATTTCATCCACAGACTCAAAAGTTGGAACCACCTTGTACAGCATAATAAACAGTACCACAGGAAAGTACTGCTCAGTAGCTTTCATTTGAATGGCCACACCATGGGATTTCATCCACAGACTCAAAAGTTAGAATCACCTTGTACAGCATAATAAACAGTACCACAGGAAAGTACTGCTCAGTAGCTTTCATTTGAATGGCCACACCATGGGATTTCATCCACAGACTCAAAAGTTAGAATCACCTTGCACAGCCTAATAAACAGTACCACAAGAAAGTATTGCTCATTAGGTTCTAATTTGAATGATCTTATTCGAGAATGTGTAGATGGTGCGCTCTAAAAATAGAATGCTCTTCGTCACTGTCTATGCAGCTAGCAACGTTCTTTTGTAATAAATAAAACACAAGAAGTGTTTTATGTGGTATATGAAATACCACGTAATACGGCAATTTACAAGATGGTGTTATGAGCACTTTAGGTTTCCGGGAAACTCCCCACCTACCCCTCCCCTAAGCTTACATTTACACTTACTTCTCACTTAGGGCAGAAAGTTGGCTTTGGGGGGGTGGGTGGGCATTTTCTCAGGAACCTAAATTGATGCTTCTTATAAAATGCTCTCTCTGTTGGTAACTTATGGAGATTTGAAAATATTACAAGAAGTAATTTTCTCTCTTTTTGTTGGGTAGTTTGTTCTTTTTTGTGTAATGTTGTGAGTTCAAGAATCTTGAAGAAGATACCGTTGGATTGTGATGTTCGTTTGTTCCGGTGGGTTAGTAGACTCCGGCTGTTTGCAACCAGATTTTTCTTCGCGGATTTTGTTTATCTAGAAGTCAGGGCTAATTTTTGTTGCAAACATTTGACAAGAATACAGCGATAAACATTTTTATTTCTGAGAACCCTCTCGAGTTTATCAGACCAGTTCCATAAAAAAGAATCACAATTCAAAGCCCCAACGTACATACGCTAAAGAATTTTCTCACTACCGTAATTCAGGGAATTGTCATTCAAAAGCTGTAGCAGACGGTGTCTAAACTCGATACTAGACAAAAACCCCTAAAACAACAAAACTATGAATACAAAAATGAGAAGATGCACACGAATTCATTTCAAAAACAGAAATGTTTTTCTTTTCTCTGTTTCTGTTATTTATTTATTTATTTATTTATTTTTTACGAAATCTTGCTTGTGCATAGCTGCACATATATTAACAATAGCTTCGACATTACAGCTTGGTTTGTTTACAACATTCTTCAGAGATAAATCAAGTGTCTAACTTTTAATAGGTTTAAACCAGAGGTACCCCAAGCTCGAAATATGAGCATCGGCGAGCATCGGCATTGTTGCGTAACATGCAAAATATAAGGATTTGTATGGGGAAAAAACCTATCGTTTCGGTAACCTACGAAAATGAAAGGATTTCAATAAAAAAAAGCTTACCTTACTTAAAATGTGTGTTACGTCTCTCCTGTGTGTTATGGCCGTTTTATGGGTTTTTATGTAAATATAAAGGTTACCTTTATATACATAGGAGAGGCGTAACACACATTTTAAGTAAGGTAAGCTGTTTTTTATGGAAATCGTTTCATTTTCGTAGGTTACCGAAACGATAGGTTTTTTTCCCATACAAATCATATTTCGAGCTTGGGCTACCTGTGTTTAAACTCGAAAATTAGTAACGTATTTCTTTGCTTCGAGTATCTGGATATAATCCCAAATGAAAAATTCCCACGAAGTGTTTGTAGTTCATTGGTTCGTTTAAAATTTTAAGTCGTATGTGTTCACAGTTGTGTAGAATGGCATCTACTACACTTTTTGTTTTGACCTGATGTTGACACTTAAATAAAATGTTTTTTCTTGGTTCACCACTTACAATTACATATAAAATTGATGATCCATTGGTGATTAAAATGTTTGTAATACCTTTACATGGCAACCGGGGAGGTATTCTTGGAGTTTTGGGGTCGGGGTGTCCGAGATGTGTTTTGATTTCAGCCATTATACTACAACATCAGAAATTTCTGCAATTTGATTGGCTTAGAGCAGTGGTATTTCAGCTTAATTTGAAATACCTACATGTGAAAATTACAAACCTTTTGTGGGTAGTAGTATAAACAAATAATAGCATGATTTGTACGTGATATTTGGCATAAATACCACTTGTGATATTTCAAAATTGTCTCAAATTGTATAACAATTTCGACATATCACTCGTGGTATTTATGCCAAATATCACTACAAATCATGCTATTACCTATACAAATTCAGGTTATTTCCTCTATTGAGTTTCAAACCTGAAGCGCTGTTGATAATAAACATGACCGATTCCAGGCTCTGGTTCTATAGAACCGTAACCATGGTAACCCTAAGCCATTTCAAATGCCAACCAAAAGTGGTTTGAGACGCCCGTACCTTTACGGCATTAATCATACTGTAAGTATAACAATATTCTCAAATCTGTTTGGCTATTATCTATCCTGATTTCAGCACTAATAAGACAGTGTTTCTCATGCCTAAGTAATTGCCATCGCACGCGCGCACTTGAATGGCTTTTTTTACTGATAACCCCAAAAAACCCTCGGAATTTCATGTGTTTTGATTTTAAAAAAGCCTAAAATATCACAAATTTTTGTTATCGTTATGATTAATTATTGGTAACAGAACTTCGTTTCGTCCAATTTGGTCTGTAACCATCCTCGTGATTCAAACAGTTTTTGTTAATCACTCCGTATGATTACAGAGCGAACTGGACTCCACTTAGTCCCAACCTTATTATGCACAGTGGTGAGTCCCCCCGGACTTGTTAAAACCTTTCTACCGCAGACAAATATGCTCTAATTCTCTTTTTTGCTAGTTTATTACTTTGCTCAAATTTCAAATTATATTGTTCTCCGCTTGTTGTTTTTTCTTCTTTTTTTGCAAAAGGGCAGACCATCGTCTCCATCATGATCCGAATGAATGTATTTAGCTCCTTAGCTTCTTTTGTTTTGCAAACGGAAGTTCCTATTCAATTGCGTGAAACTAAAATATGCTCGAAATACTTCCTCGTACCGGAAGTCAGCCTTTCGCCCTTTGACCTTCCACAGAGTTTATGTAAAATGATGAAATCCAGTGTTGTAATCATTCAAAAAAATGGTAATAACATTGTATGCTGTCCAAGGAGGTTCTAACTATTGAGTCTAAAAACAAAAATCTTAATTATGACCATTGATAAGGAGATTTCAGTCTTCTAGCATCTAAGAGCGATGAAGTATACGGGAATTTTTCCGTTCATCTTTTTGTCTTTGCTGAGCAATAAGTACTACTCAGTAGCTGTCATTTTGAATGTGGTATATGAATTCTTGCGGTACTGTTTACTGTGCTGTACTAGATACCTAAGATGGTTCTAACTTCTTTGAAGTCTGTGACTATGAAATTCTATGGTGTGACCATTCAAATGAAAGCTACTGAGCAGTACTTTCCTGTGGTACTGTTTGTTATGCCGTACAAGTTGGTTCCAACCTGTGAGCCCGTGGAGAAATTCCTGTTTTTTTCTGGCTTCTTCGTTCTGGGTAGGAGACGGTTTACTGTTGGACACGTGCGCCCACTGTGACACGATTATGGGTGTTTTTAGCATATTTTCAAAACGAAAATTAGCGGATTTTTCCTTAATTTTGGAACCCCATGGAAAATGTAGATGAGTTCATGACTCTGTGAGAGAGATGCTTTGGCAACCAACCATTTTTTAAGGTCAAATGTGTAGGTGTAGTTGTTGTTATCTATAAAAGGCAGCACTTTGAGAAAATATTTGGCACGAAAGCGGAAATTCACTCCCAGATTAACCCGTAACCAATTATGGAGATCAGAAAACTCGAGAGAGCAGTTTTGTTCGTTACTAAAAAGCACTTAAAAATAAGGCGATTTCCTGATTGCTCGTTTCCTGATTGTTCGTTTCCGATATGTAACATAAGGAAAGATATCTCTCTAACATAACCATAAACATATATTTTGAATTACATAAATAATTCCTTGGTAGGAAGGATTGGTAATCCTTTCCGTGATGGTAAAAATAGTACATGAATGTCATTGATCCTTTAAGAAGATGTCGGAAAGTTGTCGGTCTTGCCGCTCTACCTTGAGAGTCAAATACACATTATTTCCGTTCGTTGCGATTCATTATGCTTTACAGGGTAGTTCTAACTTTTGAGGGACCATTCAAATGAAAGCAACTGAACAGTTCTTTCCCGTGGTACTATTTATTATATTGTACAAGGTGGTTCTAACATTTGAGTCTGTGGATCAGTGAAATTCTATGGTGTGACTATTCAAATCAAAGCAACTGAAAGTTCTTTCCCGTGGTACTGTTTATTGTACTGTACAAGGTGGTTCTAACTGTTGAGTCTGAGGATGAAATCCTTTTGGTGTGACCATTTAAATGAAAGCAACTGAGCAGTTCTTTCCCGTGTTAACTTTTGAGTCTGGTAGACTGAGAGCAGTCTCTTTTATTTAGAGTCGCACACAGGAAGGAAGGACAACTGCTCGCAATCTTGGTCTACAGATGTAATTTTTAAATGTGGTCATTCAAATAAAAACTACTGAGCAGTAGTTTCACATGATTCCGTTTGTTTCTTGTCAATTCTTACATAGCTTGTGATTGTTAAATTTTCCCATTTCTGCTAGCGAAAAGGTCAGTATGGGGAAAATTCACCTCGGTTGATCAAACTTTTGATTCTCATCAATTATTTAATTGATTCAGCATTAAGCTGGTACTGTGAATCTTGATAATAATCACTCTCTTTTGAATAGGTCCGCCTGAGTACGTGGCCGGCCCGGTGAATGGGCATCTGTACGCCCAAGTGGACAAGGCGTTCATAAAGAAAGTCAGATCCTTGAGTCTTGATAGCGGCTCCCCAGTATCGATTGGCGCGGAGAATTCTCACTTTTTTGAAAACAAAGCAAACACCTTGACACGGAGACATGCGCACGGTTTTAAAAACGGAGATATTACAACTGCGGATGTCAAGCTGAGTCAGCCTCGTCTACAGTACACTCCCGACAGTATGCAAAACTCGACTGAGGGGGAGGTGGTGAGTGATGAGGTCAAATCTATTGACAGGCTTTTGCTTGAGCTCGGAGAATGCTCAGACATTTTGGACTCAACTATACAACAGGCCAAACCTATTACAAGAGATAGTGCTGTCTCTGCGCCTGGGGTTCCTGTGAGAAATGCAAGCTTTAATGCGGGTATGCGGTATCAGAGAAATAATGGTGTTCCTGTTGTAAGCCAAGGTCAGCACTTGTCAAGGTCTACGCCAAACAGAAGCCCTGTAACATCGACAGCTTTTTCTCAAAGTTATTCTTGGACTAGCAATCAAAGAACGGAAAAAAAACCAAATGGGATCTTTGGAGAGTCTCCTTCGTTTGTTTTACATGAAGCACCTATATCACAAACGTCTCCGCCGTTATCACCACAAACGTCACCTAAATTTTACGCCACGCAAATTGCACCAAGGACCTTCAAAGCTACGACTTATACTCACACGACAGTCGGCTACAACCCTTATAGGTCACCCGGGAATGGGGATACTTCTTCGGGTGGTTTCGTCACAAACGGAGTGTTATCGATTGCTGACGACTGGACATCGTCCCATCCTGGTAAGCAAAGACGTGGGCCTCAGGTCTTAGATTTCAATAACAATAAGTCTCCAAACGGTGTAGAGTTGTTTGATTTCGACCAGCGAAAAGATATCGAAGACGCGGGTACGTTACCAGAAAAGGGTAATGTCGCTTCAAAAGTAGCGCTGCTTACAGATATGTTTCAGGCTGATAAAGTGCAACCGGGGCACCATCAGAATCTCCGATGCCAGATAATACCGATGCCCGGTCTGACCAGTGTTTCCCCGTCGGAGGTGTTTAAGGAGATCTCTAATTACAATGCGCAGTCTCTGGCCCCTGGGGAACTCAGTCACTCCACGGGAACTCTCTACAGCAGCAAATCACCGCCCAAGAAAATTGTGGAACCGTCGAAACACGTGCAACCCGAAGAGCCTCCGCCTCCAGAAATTGATATTATGGCAGTCAAAGGGTCGCTCAAACATGTCGCACCCGCGCTTGAGTATCGGTCACATGACCAAAAGCCAGGTACTTCATGTTTTTCCCTTGTCACGCTATGCATTCGGTACCATCCGTCATGACATCCACTTTCTATGTCACGCATGTTACTCGATTTCTGCGCTAGAACACAAAAGTCAGGTTCTTTGTGGTTTTTCAGTGTCGCGCTGTCCATTTCATGACATTTGATCCACTGTTACATTTCGCTACTTCGTTATTACTTTAATTCCAATAATTTTGGATGAATTTTGGTTTTGCACCTTTGAAGGGTAAAAGATTAATCTTTTTATTACATCCACTTTGAAATCAGTGGCGATCCGTGCAATCTGATTGGCTTTCAGCAGTGTGATTTATTTCTAAATCGCACCTTTTTTTGCTCTAAGTCGCATCTGTTCCAAATCTCGTCATTCATGTTTTAAATCGCATCATTTCTGTTTTAAATCGCACCATTTTTGTTCTATATCGCATCATTTCTGTTTCGAGTACAAAATGAGGTGTAAAAGCCTTTTTGTTTCGGCTTTTTAACAAACCGGCTACTTGATCAATAAAATATTAGTGCTGACTGAATTCTGCGATTCAAAATGGCTGTTATATAGTGGTAATTGAACTACGTGTCGTGCAATTTTGGTCTGAAATCATACTTGTGATTTCGAATCGAACTCGTCCTGCGTGATCGTTTGATTTTGAAATCGCGCGTATGACTTCAGACCAAATTCAGGGGCACCCAACGTTAGTTTTTGGAAAATATCTGTTCGGAAGACGATTTGAGATCTAGAATTTTCGAAACATTTGTTGTAAATTTCTTGCTTGCCTGCCTCTCCTATGATTTTCTAACATCTAAAAAATGGTATAATTACCCATTTTTAACGGATTTTTACCCTAAAAAGGTCACCTAGAATTGTCGGAAGCCTTTTTTCTGACTGAAATTTTCGAAAAGGTAAGTTTTGATCTCTATAATTTTCGGATCACTAGACTTTCACCTAGGAAATCCGAACACACGAAAAATTTTTGGGGGATAAAAATGTGCTTATATCTACCGTTTAAATTTTAAAATACGTTCGACAACGCTATGTTTAACTGGTTTTGAACTATATTCTCGTTGGGTGCCCCTGCAAATTGCACTCCACTCAGTTCGATTACCATTATTTAAGCCTTCCGTGTGTACCTTGCTGGCTTCTAGTTTAGACTGCTAACACTGCAGTTTTTCAATCAGTTCGTCTCGCGCTACAATACTGAGGAAAAGCGAGCGGAGAGGATTTGCTTGCTGGCACCACAGTCGTAATAAACTTGAATAGACTTTTCCAGCCTCGCAGTTTTCTCGAAACAAGTCAACTAGCGCAAATCGTTAGGGATTAAGATTGCGCTTCCCCGCTCTCTCCCTTTAACGCTCCTCAAACACAAGTTTGAACATTCGTCCAAAAACTCGTAACATTTGAGGATTTTGAACAGTCCTTTTTCAGTTTTGCAAGCCTTAAACGTGTGATAGAGCTATCTATACTTGTGTGGCATTGCGTGACATTTCCTTACTTTCATCACGCAGATTTCAGCGATTTGAGGATTGTGAACAGTCCGTTTCAATAGCCAGTTTACGTGTTACAGAGTTACATAAACTTGTGTGACATTGCGTTACTTTTGTCACGCAGATTTCATTGAGCAACATGTTACCCCTAGTAGCAGTATCGATGGACTCAGTTTGGATGAAGGCGTGGAATCCAAAGGCTCCACCGACGAAACCGCCACATTTGGAGTGTCACCATCAGTGTATGTGAAGATTTCTTGTTCTGGCCCCGGTTGTTCAAACGTTGGATAGCGCTATCCACCGGAAAATCACTATCCAGCGGATAAGTATTAGGGAAACTAATTACACTATCCACTGGATAGTGATTTATCCGGTGGATAGCGCTATCCAGCCTTTGAACAACCAAGGCCTGTATTTTAACCCTTTTACTGCCAAATGTGGCCAAAGGCAAATTTTGACCAAATTTGCGAATTTCATTTTCTAAAAATTTTGACAAACAAATAGCATCATGTGAAAGTACTGCTCAGTAGCTTTCATTTGAATGGTCACATCATAGGATTTCGTCCATAGACTCAAAAGTTAGAGTCACCTTACAAAACGCAATCAAACACTCTGGCAGTGAAAGGGTTAACAAATGGATTACCGTAAAATTCAGAAAATAAGCCCCTCCAAATATAAGCCCCCAAAACCAGTAACTTAAAAAACCCTCCGTTAAATCGCTCCTCAAAATATAAGCCCCCCGGGGGCTTGTAATTGGAAAATTGCCCTCAAATACAAAGTAAAACAAAGCAGAAACGGTAAATTTACCTCCAACTATAAAGCTACAACCAGTTGCAAAAGTACTTGAGACACTGTACAATGGCCTGTCCATGATCTTGTGCTTGTGATCCCCCCTCCACCCCTTATCAAAGTTGCTAGCAATACAAGACCATACTCAAAACTTAGAGGAACAACTTTGAATGGGAGGGAGGAGGGAGGTCGGTATTATATTTCACAGACCCGTGACCAGGAGCCATTTGAAGCGAGAAAGGTCGTTTTTCCGTGGGAGTGTCTCATCATTTTTGCACCTGGTTGTAGCTCAATCGATTTTGAGACGCAAATTTCCCTCCGTAGATAAGCCCCTCCGAATATAAGCCCCTCCAAGAATAAGCCCCTCAAAAAGGGCCTTTGGAAAATATAAGCCCCGGGGCTTATTTTCGGAATTTTACGGCATTTGGGGAATAACTCGGGCGTTTCTGGACCATCAAAAATCAGAATTTTGAATCTGTGGTTGAGGTCCTAAAGTTAGACCTTTCAAATAAAAGCTTGTTAGCAGTTCTTGGTCAACGTGATGCTTGATTCACGGAACTTATTGTTTTCTTCTTGAAAATCACTTGAATGGTAACGCAATAGGATTTCTCCCAAATACTGAAATTCCACTCATTAGAATCAAAGATTACTACTGATTATTATTCTCCTAACCAGGGTTCTATCTAGGATTTATCGTTTGGAGGAGAAGTCCCGAATGGCCGAAGGCGACGAGCTTCCTGGGGGGGTCCGGGGGCATACCCCCCCGGAAATTTTTTCACATGAATATGCCCTGAGATGCAATCTGGCGCATTTTGAGACACACTGTGCACTGACCTTGTCTCGTCTGGATGATTTTTCTGATATAGTCAGTTTTATACTGTAATGATAACATTTTTTTTTGGGGGGGGGAGCTTCTACCCCTCAAATACCCTAGATAGAACCCTACTAACGTTTTTCTCTGAATTCAGCAGCAGTGATGGCCAGACGGACTCAGCGTTTGGAGAGTCCATCATCAGCACGTCACCTTACTCCACACCGGTAGCGGGACACCTGTCGAACCGGTTCAACCACGTTTCGACCACTCTAGAGCACCATGGCGAGGAAGCGGACGACGAATTGCGCCAGCGATCAGGAACCGATCGTTTCCGAGAAAATGCAGAAGTGCATGCACAAGAGGCACGTGAAGATGAAGAAGCGGGATATGCGAGGCTAGAGGACATTTGCTCTGGGCAGTCCGGTCAGGCTAGCACACAAAGCAGGTAAATAGTCACCCATCCCACCCTGCTGCCAAACGTTGTGCGACAAATTTTGTACGTTAATTTCCTTTATTATATAAACACCAATGAAATACCAGGTGAGCTTTCGCGCGAAAACTTGATATCTTCACATGTGAAAATAACACGTTATCTTCACATGTGAAAATATCCGTGCCCTTTGCTATGGCTACAAGTGCATGCGCAAGAGGCACGTGAAGATGAAGAAGCGGGATATGCGAGGCTAGAGGACATTTGCTCTGGGGAGTCCACACAAAGCAGGTGAAGAATAAAATAAATAAGTAAAATAAATCGCGCCTTTCACACCAAAAAACTGTTAAAGTGAAATGGTTTGGTATTTCATTGGTGTTTATATAATAAATAGAACATTACATGGCCGGTTGGAGATACGAAATTTCTCTTCTCGTGTTGAAAAAATATTTCACTCGTTGGCTGCGCTCACCCGTGAAATATTTTTCAACACTCGAAGAGAAATTTCGTATCTTCAAGCGGCCATGTAATATCCTCTATGTCTCACGCCCCAACCTTCCTTCTCTCACATTCGCCCGTTTTGCAGCGTAGCTCGATTAGTCCATTTCCGAGTTCGTTAATCACTCACTTTCAAAACGAGGCAAAGTGCAAAACCTTTCTTGTGAAAATGAGTTTTATTTACATGAGAAGAAACAATCATTTTCATACCTCAATAGCTTCGCACTTAGCCTCGCTTTGAAACAGAGGCTTAGGGCAACCCGATCAAATGATCATATATTGTGTTTACATTCTTAGCCCTGCAAGTGGTACAAGAAATGAGATGCAGACCACCCTAGTGAGTACAAGCCCAGTGGATACTGTCAGATTAGAAGAGAGTGGTGAGAAGATAGTAGCTAAGGATTCATCGGCGGATGTGGAAGCTATTCAGGATATTCTAATGGAAATGGCTGATATGAGGTATCCTGTTTATCCTAGCTTACGTAGCATCAAGTGATACTGAAATAGAATGATATGTGTACCCTGCGAGCAGAGGTTTGTCTTTTTGCATGGCTTTTAGCGTTTACGAAGTCATAAACTAACTACGTGACAAACAAGTCTTGCGAGTGAGGAGGGAGGATTGGCGTAAATGTGAATCTTAGTCTCTCTATTAATAGGGATAATAAGCCAATTAAAAAACGAACAAGAAAATGATTACAATGGTCAATCAAGTGTCATGAGTATGATTTGATAACAAATTATTACGTAAATCGTTACATAATGAGATACACAATCCAATCCACAATCCTTGCAATCCGTTGCAACGACGATAGGAAACAGTTTCAATGCTTAAGTATCGTCCCAAATAACAAAACTGGACCTTTCGTTTTGGAATTCAGTTGATACGAAAAACAGTTTTAGCGTTTTGACATAGTCCCCCCAAAAGAGGGCTTTTACGTGGAATTTCTTTTAGTTAACAAAACGCACGATCTTTTTTGTGGCATTTCTTAGCGAGTTAAAGGCACCATTGATAAGTTTTGTTCCTATCTTTGTAGCGTCATCGCTCCTGAATCAGCTCATCTAAGCCGCTCCAGTACCCCACATAGTATATCCAGCGGAGGACTGGAGAGCAGGAGTCCTGTGCTGTCTTCAGGATCTGGTGTCTTTGAAAACGAGACACAAAGAAAGAAGTCCCAGCCTCATTCCGACAAAGGATATGGCTCAACAACAAGCGTATCTTCTGGCTCTTCAGGCGACAGTAAGTGATATCTTATGGTATCATTGAATCTCGTGTGACCTGTATTCTGTTATTTCCTTTGGGGTAACGGGGTCTTAATTCATGCTGGGTAGACTTTGCACTGACTCTAGACGTCATCTGTAAAGTAGATTTACATTTGAAACATGATCACATTTGCCATTCCTTCCACGTTAAAGTATTTATTTTTGACGTTTTCAGATGTTTTTCTATCTGAAAGTCCAAAAGTCCCTGGATTGAAGTTTGATCGTGACACTTCATCGTTTTGGTACAAGCCCAACATAACAAGAAATGATGGTAGGTTCTCGCCATGTTGGCATTGTGTTTAAATCTTTAATATCAACATGCATGTTCTCCACACTGACTCTCTATAGTTCCTATGGTATTGATGAGGAGAATTTGTTTAACAATCAAGACATTTTTTGCCTGTTGATGAGTGACCCTCGTATTTGATTAAGCACTGCCCACCTACCCCTCCCCTAAGCCAACATTTTGCCCCAAGTAAGAAGAAAGTGTTAAGGTTGACTTAGGGGAGGGGTAGGTGTAGACAATTTTACCAGAAACGTATTATGATCCCAAATTAGGTTGTGGTCACATTCATAAAAAGAAAGCGCCATTCTTTCTTGTTCCGGTTAGGGTTTCTCGTTAAGGATTGCTATTTTCAGAGGTGAGGATGGGATGCGAAAAATTTTCACTTTTAAATAGAATTTAGATCATCCTAATACATTTCAGAAGAAATCGCCGTTGAACCGCGTCCAAGAAACATGAGTGCAGGTTGTGTTATGTCGTTGCAACGGAAAATGTACTTATAACCTCGTTGTCATTCATTTGTCCTCAGCTATCTCCATTCTAAGAGACTCGGAACCAGGCTCTTTCGTCATCCGGGACAGTCAGTCCTTCCCAGGAGCCTTTGGTTTAGCTGTGAAAGTGGCGGTGCCCCCCGCTCACGTATTGCAGGGGCTTCAAGGAGATATGAGTAAGTTGAAAATACATTCCAACCTCGTTCCTAGCGGTTTTCCTGGCGACAAGGTTGAAACACATCCGTTACGTCAAGGCTGGGTTTCACTAGCTACGGGGTCGGAGTTGTAATCAGAAGAGTAGAACTTTACGATCAAGTGAAAACTAGGTTGTTCGGAGTAGCAACAGAAGCGGAAGCCCAATCACAAAGCGTCGGAACGTGCATTGTGATTGGTTAATGCTTCCGCTTCTTCCGATTTCACTAGATCATGACGGAACAAGGCGAAGAAGTCATAAGCGAAGTCGGATGAAAATGGAAACGTTCTGATTCATCCGACTCCTATTCTGACGCCCTTGTGACTCTGCTTACGACTCCGATTTTTGATTTTCACCGAGTCATATTAAAGCGCTCTTATGGCTCAGCTTACGACTTCGACTCCGACTCCGTCGCTAGTTAGCCCTCCCACCCCTAAGACCTTCCTTAGGGGTAAGAGGAAAGGAGATTTTAGAGGGGGAGAGGAGAGAGAGAAAGGAAGTTTTTTCACTTTTCGCTTCTCCCCTCGGGGATCCGAGAGGGATTAATTGAGGTTTCTGCGTAACGGACCACCTACCCCTCCCTTAAGTCAACATTAATACTTACGTCCCACTTAGGGCAAAATTGTGAGTTAGGGAGGGGTAAGTAGTCAGTTACCGAGAAACCCAAATTGGTCTTCTTCTTCTCCCCCAGAAACACCCGATACTCAGTTTAAAAAGCTACATATTACAAATCTTCCGAATTCCATCCCTAGCAAGTTACTTTATAAATGGTACACTTAAAAAACACATCGGCTTGTTTTCTAATGTATACGATAATAATAAAATAAGCTTCGTAGAGAGATTTCCAAATCAAGATTCAGATAAAATGTTGGAAATTATAAGAAATATGCAGCATAACTGTTACGGGCAAATAGGAATATCAGGAACTATTCTGGAACTTCGGAATTAAGTTGAGTGTTTTCTTCTGTTGTAGCTAAAGTTGACCTGGACAATGAACTTGTGCGACACTTTCTTATCGAGACGACAAAGAGGGGAGTTAGATTAAAAGGGCTGAATGATGAACCCGTGTTTGGTAAGTCATACTACAGCTATACTTGTATTGTGTGGTCACCTTTAGGGATTGGTCAACTGACTGCTTAAAAAAGGGTTAACCGTTTAATATAGGTGACAAAATGTACATTCTTTAAACTATACTCTGCGATTTTCTCACGGTTTATTTCTTATAGTTTTGTGACAGTCTTTTGTGTTTTCTTTCTGTTTGTTGCTTCAGGGAGTTTAGCAGCGTTCGTTTATCAACATTCCATCACGCCCCTTGCCTTGCCCATCAGACTAACCATACCTTCGTGGGGTAAGTTAACAGTAACGAGGAGGATGTGTAGGCCATTTTGGTGGCTGCGATTTGTCGGCCGAGTTTGGAACGATTTACAAAGAAAACATTGTGAACATACAAAAACACAATGTGATATTTTCGGCGCGTTAATTTGTAGCGTGTACCGTGGGTGCCTAATTCCAGATACCGTGGAAACCTCCTATAACGAAGTGCTACGGTGCCGAAATGAAAAAATTGTTCGTTATAGCGGGGTCGTCGTTATAGCGAACGCCCCGTTATAACGAATTATTGGGTTAACAGCAAAAACTGAATATTCGTTAAAGTGGGGTGATTTGATAAATAACAATTACCAAAAATTTAATACTGCACGTAGAAAACGTTATTTTTATTCATTTGATACTGTAAACTGTAAGTGTAAAGCGCTGGCAATCAAGACATCAAATTCAAAAACACTTTCAATTAAAGCAAGCTGTGATTTCCACTCAAATCACTCGTTTTTGCTAACTGCTGCGAGCGACCGGACAAAATTTTCGTTACAGTGGGGTAAATTGTGCGTTGAGACCGTCAAGATCTATTCGTTATAGCCGGGGTTCGTTTCCACATATTTTTCTTTAATTCTGCCGGGCTTTCAGATGTTTTTCGTGATAACGGGGTCTTCGTTATAGCGAGATTCCACTGTAGCTCGTCTCCTGTCTCAAGAGTTAAATCAGACCGTGCGCACTAAAGTCAATTTTCAACGCATCTTAATCTGGTGTTACTGTGGCACTAAGGCAGAGATTTTCGAGCTATCACAGGCGACTGCAAATTAGCCGCCCCTATTAATTTTATCAGGGGCACCTCGGCCGGGAAGCTAGACTCCTTTCGACTCGATTTCGTTTTCGTAATTTATCTGTAATTGACGAACGCGGATTCGTAATCAGTGATTACCTCTCGTCTCCTAACATTGAATACATAGTACAGAGAAAATTTGGTGAGAATTAATAGAATGGTCATCTGATGTGAAGAGCTTTGATGTACAAAGAAATTCTCTTAACTAATTCTTTAAGGAGATGTATGTAGATCGATCTGGAAAATTTGTATTCGGATATTGGGGCATGCGCACGGGGTATTTCATCCTAGGTATTTCTACAAAGGACCTCTGTAGCCAGGGTCCGTAGCGTGCTCCTGTAAAGTGACCGTTATTTTGAGGCTATTGGGAACCGACGGTTCGCGCTGACAGATCTTATCGTGTAAATCAGCCAGCTTCTGGGTGACCACGAGAGCACTGTAAACGCTCCTTTGGTCATTCCATATTTTCTCTCTGCTGTCCACTTGTTAGTGTATTTACATGTTTTGAGTTTGTTTATATTTCTTTTTATTTCCAGACCTCTCAGGGGAAGATAAAACCCACTCTGCTGACACAGAGGACGGTCAGTCGTGGCCAAAGGGTGCAGGTATCTGTCGCCACGGTTGTTGTGTGAAACATTTTCATTTTAACGACGTCTCTGACTCTGTAGCAGTTTCTAATCACTGATGTATGCTGCGTGTTGTTGGCTAGCTAATATATTGCACTATCCTCGCTGAGATTTCTGCGAACCACCTCACTTATGTCAAGGATTGCACACTTTATGAAAAGTTTGCTTGCACTGATTTGTTCTGTTTCTTTTTTCGACGTATAGTTGGTTCGCTGATGTATCTGGGGCAGTGTAATGTTGAGATGCTAACAGGTGCAAGCGCTATTCAACGCACCGTTGAACGCTTGTCAACAGAGGACTGTGCTAAGAAATTCACCACTGTAAGCTTCAAGGTTACACCTCAAGGAATGACAGTGACAGACAATGAACGAAAGTAAGATTGGCTACCACTTCCTCACAATACCATCTCCTCAAACTTTATACCAGTGTTAGATTTGTTTTGTTCCATGAAATACCTCCTTTATTGACTACATAACATAGTATTACATGTGTTTGGTTCCTCATAATACCACCTCCTTAAACTGCATACCATAATACACTTTGTCATAATAACTATATGCTGTATTCATCACACGTATCTTATTTTTCCTACGACATATTAAACCCTTCCTGTATTTTTCTCAACAGAGTGTTCTTTAGACAGCATTTCCACATGAAGTCTATTCTTTACTGCGGCATAGACCATAGCGACAAGAGGTACTATCAACTCTTTTTCTGAGAAGAAGTTCTTTGTAATGAGATTAAAGTTTCTTTAAGGGTTATCTTGAAATCTAACTTGTTTGTTTTTTCTTGTAGATGGGAAACACCAACCTACTGCGGGAAATCAAAGTAAGTTGGTTCTACTGCGGTACTAAATTCCTGCAGTCTTCACATTACAATTCCCAAGATTTTTTTATCCTCTAGAATTAACAAACACAAACACCGCCGCAATCCCTTACCTCTACCTTAATCTTACGTTCCCACGTGCCTGTTTTGAATTTTACTATTCAATCCTCAATCTCGCTCCTCCAAATTGTAATCGTCCTGTTTTATTTTCATATTGCTAGCTCATTTGGTCTCGTTTTACGAAAACAGGAGGAGTACACAATGAATGCTATCTATTTCGAGAAATTTCCAAGGACTGGCCACCCAGTATCCTTGTTAATATACTAAACAGATCCATGACGTCATCAACGTAACGCAACGTCACGTCTCACAACAAATGTTCGGTATTGTAACGACATCTTCATAATAGCAGTACGTAAAGGTCGCGTTATCGTTATCAACTGATATATACATCTGTGAGCTCAGGTTGATGCCTCTGCGGTAATGAAGTAACAGAAAGGATTAAGCATAAAGCTACAGCAGTAAACAGATTTCCACTGGAAGGATTTCCTGCATATGAAAAACTGAGCTTTTCAAAGGGATAAATTCTAACTTTCTTCAGGTCAGGAATAGAAAACTGCAATGAACAGCCTGTTCATGTTGAATAATGTTGAAGAAAATGCACCATAGTTGAGGGTCGCGTTTGGGAAGCTGTGAATATTTAAGGGCAAGTCTTGCATACATCGACCTACATCTAACACGTGTATGAATAGAGAATTTTCGAGAGGAATTTGATATAATTTTATATGTAAACATATATGGCGCAATATTTGCCACAAGTAATCTCTTTTTGGGAGACACAATTTAGCCGTAAGATTGTCAAAGTAGAAATACTATAACAGAATACAGATATATCTATATATATATTTTACGCCTTGTTATTGAAATTGCATGATCGGTACTTGCGAAAAAAGAGTTGTTCTCATGACCAGGTCTCCCTTATCAAGAAGATCGTAAGGACGGTAGAAGCACCTTAAGGAGTAGCCTCTCTCGTTGAAGGTTTCCACTTCATCAGGGACCGTTCATTTTTTATGAGAGAGGGGGGGGGCTGGTGGGATTTGGGGGGGGGGGGCACTCGAAAAAAATTGGCTTGAAAGGGGGCCAGCCGAAAAAAAAAAAAATGAAGGAAAGGGGGGGTCGGACGAAAAAAATTAGATTAAAAATAGGATAAGAGATGTTTACAAATGGAAGAAAAATTGTGCTCTTTTATTTATAACAAATATGCTAAAACAGTTCCAGGGTAACAAGAAAACTTCTCAACAGCTTTTATATTTTATAAGGACAGTGAACATACCATAATAACAGTCTTGAATAGCAACAACTTTCTTTTCATTCATAAAAATGTTGTTGTCAAGCTCATATAATTAAAACCAATAATGTGAGTCCCGAATTGGAACTGACCTCGTTACCAGAGCTTTTCTCTGAGAAATTTAATGGGAGGGGCATGAAACTACTACGAGGTGTCCCCTTCCTCATTTTCGACGTTCTCTTCGATCTCGTCGTCGCTGTGTTCCTCTTCTTCTTCTTCCTGTTCTTCTTCGTTGTCTTCCTCTTCTTCCTCTTCTTCGTCGTTTTCTTCTTCCTCTTTGTTCGTGTCTCCGACGTTTGAGCTACAATCTTCAGGATGCAGGAAGCAATACATCCTGTTTCTTACTTCTGGCTTAAGGTTGGTAATAAGCCTGCTTTGTGCCGCGTTGCTGAAGTAGCTTGATTGCAGTAGGTGAGCGATGAATGCTGCATCCCGTGTTAGCAACAATGCTGCTACATCTTCAACGTTTATGCACGCTTCCGGAATTGTCATGGAGGGAGGATAAAGAAGACAGTTGGGAAGCTCTTTTGCAAGGGGATTTGCAACGCAGATATGATACACGCGTAGGACGTTGTTTTCAAACCGTTTGCGTTTTCTGCCCTTTGATTTCCTACGGTTTTGTTTTAATTTTCTTTTTTTTGACACGTAGTGTCCTGTTAAACCCTTGAAGACCTGGTCAAAGGTCTCCTTCTTTTTTTCGAGGTTTTCTAATTCCCCTGAAACCTTGAGCTGCTTTGCCTCAATCCTAGCGATGTGCTGCACATTGAAGTCATGGTGGAATTTCTTGTCAGGCTTCAGGGTAATGCCATTCGCAAGGGAAAGTAGGAAGGCAAGAGAAAAGTCCTATGATGATTATCATTGGACTACTTTGTGCGAAGATGCCGCCAAGCTAAAAAAGCTCCGTGTGCCAGAATTGAACAAATACTTACAACATCATGGGCTATTAAAACAGCATCAGAAGAGCAGCAAGAATGACAAAGTGAAGACAATTATGGGACACTTCCTGCAGATGGATACTCTCAGAACAGGTCAAGCCGAAGTGAGAGGCAGCAATGAATCAGGTCAACTAGACAGCAGTGGTGAAAGCAGTGAGGGAGAAGAAACTGATGACGATTACAAGAGTGATGCCCCTGACTCTGAAGACGACTCAAATGATGTCGTTCTTGCTTTTATCGCCTCAGACGAGGAATATGTAGACGAGCGGCCAGCTACAACACGCTCAGGACAAGCAGTAACAAGAAGAGCTGAAATTTACTTTTCATTCTTTTGTGTGAGGATTTGTTAAAAACAGCTTTCTAGCTTTCAGCTTTCTTTCACTAAGTTACGTGAAATGTAACAAAACGAAATTTTAAGGTGGCTCCGTAATTGATACAAGAGCATTTAGCTGTGACAAATTTTCCGTCATAACTTTCCGATTTTAACGCGATGGCTGCGAAACTTTGCAAAGAACAACAGATATCATTCGGCAATAATACGAAGTATTCCGATTTCATTGATGGTAAATATTTCTTGAGAAATTAGCGCTTAAAAGGACCCTACTGTTCAAAGAAAATCGCGTCTAGTAAAAAATTTTGCTGATATTTTTCACTGAAATTTCTGGTATCGGCTTTAATTGATATAATAAATATGCCAGAGGAATTTCAGAAAAATCGTTGGAGCAGAAGTCCGTAACTAAAAGTCGCTCAAAATTCAGCTGTGAAATTGTTTTGGAATTTCAAAAATAAATTACTAACGGGTAGAAGGAGCCACCAGTTTGAATTTTCGAGACAAGTAAATTCAACGTTTGCTAATTCTTAAAACAAAAGCCGATTGCCTATCGTGCTATTCTTTAAAAGGTACTGTTTAGTTGTAGAAGCACTATAAATTGCTCCAAACCTTGCTCTGAGGTAGAATTACTTGTTCTTCGACATTTTTAAAATATCCCATGGCAGTTTTGGTTCAAACTCCTGCTGCATACATTTTGATGTATTGCAATGCATTTTCAACGACTTTTACTGCTGTTCGTTGCTTCCAACTCAGGAAAAAAGTATTGAGATTGGACGCTACCTTGTACCAGAGCTCAGATAGAACTGTCCAGCACCTTTGTTTATGACTACAAAATGAGCACGAGCGGCAGTTCTGCGAGGAATTCGCACCTCACCCAGGGGGGGCGAACGACAATGATGACCATGCCTGTGAACCGAATAACATCACAGTCCAAAATAGAATTATCGTAAAAATACTGCCCGTGAATAAATTTACAACTCTGAAATTTTTGTCACTCCTTCCTTCAATGAATGGGTATTTTTTCCTTGATTATTATGTTTTGCTCTGCAATACATGTTTATACAGATCGGTTCACAGACATGGGCATCATTGTCATTCGTCCCCCCTGGCTGAGGTGCGAATTCCTCGCAGAAGTGCCGCTCGTGCTCATTTTCTGGTCATAAACAAAGGTGCTGGACAGTTCTATCTGAGCTTCGATACAAGGTAGCTTACAATCCCAATACCTTTTTCCTGAATTGGAAACAACGTACAGCAGGAAAAGCCGTTCAGGATGCATTGCAATACATCAAAATGTGTGCAGCAGGAGTTTGAACCAAAACTGCCAAGGGATATTTTAAAAATGTCGAGGAACAAGGACAACAAGTCATTCGACGTCAGAGCAAAGTTTTGGAGCAATTTATAGTGCTTCTAAAACTGAAAAGTACCTTTTAAAGAATAGCACGATAGGCAATCGGCTTCTGTTTTCAGAATTAGCAAACACTGAATTTACTTGTCCCGAAAATTGAAACTGGTATCTCCTTCTTCCTGATAGTAATTTATTTTTGAAATTCCAAAACAATTTCACAAAATTTTGAGCGACTCTTAGTTACGGACTTCTGCTCCAACGATTTTTCTGAAATTCCTCTGGCACATTTATTATATCAATTAAAGCCGATACCAGAAATTTCAGTAAAAAATATCAGCAAAATTTTTTACTAGACGCGATTTTCTTTGAACAGTAGGGTCCTTTTAAGCGCTAATTTCTCAAGAAATATTTACCGTCAATGAAATCGGAATATTTCGTATTATTGCCGAATGATATCTGTTGTTCTTCGCAAAGTTTCGCAGCCATCGCGTTAAAATCGAAAAAGTTGTGACGGAAAATTTGTCACAGCTAAATGCTCTTGTATTAATTACGGAGCCACCTTAATGCACCAACTTTTTTAATACCTTATGTACTTTTTTTATTTATTGGGGGAGGGGGGGGGCCTTCCAAAAAATTACTGTGATGAAGGGAGGGGGGCCATGCGAAAAAAATCGGAAATGGGGGGGGGGTCATACAATTTTCAAATTACACTCCTCCAAATCCCACCAGTCCGCCCTACCCCATAAAAAATGAACGGTCCCTGAGACGTCGGCATAGGAGGCTACTTTACGAGCTGAAGAGCGTCCTTGAGGATCGCACCTCTGGGATGACAATTTCATTTTGGATCATTATACGTTTCTGGGAAACTGCCCACCTACCCCTCCCTAAGCCAACATTAACAATTACTTCTCGTTTAGGTTAAAATATTGGCAAAGGGGAGGGGTAGATGCGCAGTTACCCAGAAACTTATAATCCAGAATTTTAGAGATAAGTTTACATTGATACTAAAAAGGGTTTTGGTTCTAATTGAAGCCAACCTCAAAAACTGGTAGCCTGACACAACGGCCGACATTTCCAGACGCTACCATTGGTTTCCCCGGGAAACGAAGTCTGAAGAAGGAGCTCAGAAATTCCATACTGATGACGTGTCACTATCCAGATCTGGACAGTGACACGTCATCAGTATGGAACTGATTTCTGTAGTCGATCCTCAGAAAACATTTCGCAGGAAACCAGTGGTAGCGTCGGGAAATATCGACTGTTTTCTCACTCCCCAAAACTTGGGGAGAGAGAGAAAAAGTAATTTTAGCCGTGAAAATTATAGTGGCTGGTCTAAAAAGTAGAGAAATACACTCGGATAAAAATGTGATTAATTCTTTGCAACCAGTTATCACTATTACACAAAGAAAAGACATCATATTGTATTTTTATAAACATATTTTTAGTTGGACTCGACTGACTCTTGCTCAGCTCTTGAAGAAAACGAACATGTTCTTATTTTCATGTGTACACGTGCGTAACTGGGACAACCTCGTCCCCAGGGCTTTTCCCTTAACATTTTTTAAGGGAAAAGCCCTGGGGACGAGGTTGTAACTGGGAAAGTACAAACTTCAACCTCATCCCCCGAGCCTTCTCGGCCACATTCCGTCTCAGAGGCACGCATCTTTTCATCTTTTCAGCTATTGTCGATTGTCTTAACCTATAAACTGAACTGGCTTTTTCATTTTTCTCAGCCTGTCCTGGACGAATCTTCATCGGGGAACGATGAAAAAAGAAAGAGACCAAGAGATAGGAAGTTCTTTTGCCTGACACGCACGCTAAAATAGCAACAGTTAAAAAACATACGAAAATTGCACTGTCAGAGTCAGCCAAGGTTGACCAAATTTCTTCACTTGCTTTCGCCCGTTTTTGATATCGCAATTATCACACGGTAGGGAAATGTGTCGGATTTTGGGAGAAAAATGCATGTTTTAACCTCGTTCGAGCAAGGATGGAACGTTTAATCTCGGCTCTCCGTTGGAAACTAAAGGATTCACGCTTACGGCGATTTTTAAATTTGCCACAAATATTTCGAGAATGGTTCGTATAGTTCGCAACACAGGTGTGGCTGTCACGAGAACCTGTGCAGCAGAAAATTCTGTACCTCATGTTGAATGATTGCTCACAAACAGAAAGGCTCTGACCAGTTTATGGGCATTTCTAACAATAATACCGGATTTTCGAGATACGAAAACTTTGACCTGACGCGAATGTTCAACAAACAGTGTTTTTGTGATTCAAATTACCAAGCAGCCACGGTTGACTACATCTAAATCATTTTGCTCGAGAATACAAAAGTTAAATGCAAGCATTTGTTGTTCGTTAAGCAAGGAATCGAGAGACAGTCGACATGCAAGAAATAATAGATTTGGTCTCTCGTAAAACACTCCACTGGTTCAGTTATGTGGCAAATTTCTGTTGGATTTTGCTCGGAATTATCCTATCAGCGATCTTTCTAGACATTGAAAACAGCGAACCTAGATTTGACTTTCGTTGTGGCTCAAATGGCGACAAAGTCTAAAAAGTAGGGAAATACATGAGGAAAATGTAATTACTTCTTTCCAACCAGTTATCACTATTACACAAAGACAAGACATCAGATATTGTATTTTTATAAACATGTTTTTGAGAAGAGAAAATATTAAACGAATTAATATTTTTCAGTATTTTTTTACATGCACTTTAAAGGGCCCGTTTCAGTCTTCCCTTTATCTCGTACCCAGAGCTCCCACGGCTAGAGTGAGATCTAGGTTCAAGATTAAAACTGACTCCACCGAGTTTTACGGGGTTGGACTCGACTGACTCTTGCTCAGCTCTTGAAGAAAACGAACATGTTTTTATTTTCATGTGTACACGTGCGTAACTGGGAAAGTACAAACTTCAACCTCATCCCCCGAGGCTTCTCGGCCACATTCCCTTTCACAGCTACGGCACGCATCTTTTCATCTTTTCAGCTATTGTCGATTGTCTTACGCTATAAAGTGAACTCGCTTTTTTTCATTTTTCTCAGCCTGTCCTGGCCTAATCTTCATCGGGGAACAATGAAAAAAGAAAGAGACAAAGAGATAGGAAGTTCTTTGGCCTGACACGCACGCAAAAATAGCAACAGTGAAAAAACATACGAAAATTGCACTGTCAGAGTCAGCCAAGGTTGACCAAATTTCTTCACTTGCTTTTGCCCGTTTTTGATATCGCAATTTTCACACGGTAGGGAATGTGTCGAATTTTTGGAGAAAAATGCATGTTTTAACTTGGTTCGAGCAAGGATGGAACGTGGTTTAATCTCGGCTCTCCGTTGGAAACGAAAGGATTCACGCTTACGGCGATTTTTAAATTTGCCACAAAGATTTCGAGAATGGTTCGTATAGTTCGCAACACTGTTGCTGTCAGGAGAACCTGTTCGCGGACGAGTGCAGCAGAAAATTCTGTACCTCATGTTGAATGATTGCTCACAAACAGAAAGGCTCTGACCAGTTTATGCACATTTCTATTAATAATACCGAATATTCGAGATACAAAAACTTTGACCTGACGCGAATGTTCAACAAACAGTGTTTTTGTGATTCAAATATACCAAGCAGCCACGGTTGACTACATCTGAATCATTTCCCTCGAGAATACAAAAGCTAAATGCAGGCATTTTTTGTTCGTTAAGCAAGAAATCGAGAGACAGTCGACATGCAGGAAATAATAGATTTGCTTGCTCTTAAAACACTCCACTGGTTCAGTTATGTGGCAAATGTATGTTGGATTGTGCTCGGAATTATGCCATCAGCAATCTTTCTAGACATTGAAAACAGCGAATCGAGATTTGACTTTCGTTGTGGCTCAAATGGCGACAAGGTCTAATTAGTAGGGAAATACAAGAGAAAAATGTTATTAATTCTTTCAGATCAGTTATTAGTATTACACAAAGAAAAGACATCAGATATTGTATTTTTATAAACATGTTTTCGAGAAGAGAAAATATTAAACGAATTAATTTTTTTCAGTATTTTTTACATGCACTTTAAAGGGCCGTTTTAATCTTCCCCTTATCTCGTACCCAGATCTTCCACGGCCAGAGTGGGATCTGGATACAAGATTAAAAAAGCTCTTGAAGAAAACGAACCTGTTTTTACTTTCATGTGTACACAAGCGTAACTGGGAAAGTACAAACTTCAACCTCATCCCCCGAGGCTTCTCGGCCACATTCCGTCTCAGAGCTAAGGCACGCATCTTTTCATCATTTCAGCTATTGTCGATTGTCTTAAAACCTATAAAGTGAACTGGCTTTTTCATTTTTCTCAGCCTGTCCTGCCTAATCTTCATCGGGGAACAATGAAAAAAAAAAAAAAAAAAAAAAGAGTGAGAGTGACAGGAAGTTCTTTGGCCTGACTCGCACGCAAGACCACGCAAAAATAGCAACAGTTAATATACATACCAAATATTGCACTATCAGAAGTAGTCAAGGTTGACCAAATTTCTTCCCTGAAAGGATGGAACGTGGTTTAATCTCGGCTCTCCGTTGGAAACGAAAGGATTGTCGCCTACGGCGATGTTTAAATTTTCCACAAATATTTCAAAAATGATACGTATAGCTGCGCATTTCTAACAATAATACCGAAAATTCGAGATGCGAAAACAGTGTTTTTGTGATTCAAATATGCCAAGGAGCCACGGTTGACTACAGCTAAATCATTTTGCTCGAGAATACAAAAGTTAAATGCAAACATTTGTTTTCGTTAAGCAAGGAATCGAGAGACAGTCGACATGCAAGAAATAATAGATTCGGTCTCTCGTAAAATACTCCACTGGTTCAGTTATGTGGCAAATTTCTGTTGGATTTTGCTCGGAATTATCCTATCAGCAATCTTTCTTGACATTGAAAACAGCGAACCTAGATTTGGTTTGTTGTGGCTCAAATGGCGACAAAGTCTAAAAAGTAGGGAAATACACTCGGAGGAAAATGTAATTAATTCTTTGCAATCAGTTATCACTATTACACAAAGAAAAGACATCAGATATTGTATTTTTATAAACATGTTTTTGAGAAGAGAAAATATTAAGCGAATTTATATTTTTCAGTATTTTTTGCATGCACTCGTTTTAATCTTCCCTTTATCTTCCACGACCAGAGTGTGATCTGGGTACAAGATTAAAACTGACTCCACCGAGTTTTACAGGGTTGGATTCGACTGACTCTTGCTGACCATAAAACCTTAAGCTTTTGAAAGAAACGAACCTGTTTTTACTTTCATGTGTACACGTGCGTAACTGGAAAAGTACAAACTTCAACCTCATCCCCCGAGGCTTCTCGGCCACATTCCGTCTCAGAGCTTTAAGGCACGCATCTTTTCATCATTTCAGTTATTGTCGATTGTCTTAACCTATAAACTGAACTTACTTTTTCATTTTTCTCAGCCTGTCCTGGCCTAATCTTCATCGGGGAACAATGAAAAAAAAAAAAAAGGAGAGAGAGAGAGACAGGAAGTTCTTTGGCCTGACACGCACGCAAAAATAGCAACAGTTAATATACATAACAAAAAGGTTGCACTGTTAGAGTCAGCCAAGGTTGACCAACTTTCTTCACTCGCTTTCTCCCGTTTTTGATATCGCAATTATCACACGGTGGGAGAATGTGTCGGATTTTGGGAGAAAAATGCAGGTTAAACCTCGTTCGAGCAAGGATGAAACGTTTAATCTCGGCTCCTTGTTGAAAACGAAAGGATTCCCGCCTAAGGCGATGTTTAAATTTGCCACAAATATTTCAAGAATAATATGTATAGTTCGCAACACAGGTGTGGCTGTCACGAGAGCCTGTTCGCGGGCAAGTGCAAAAGAATCCTATGCTTCATGTTGAATGATTGCTCAGAAACAGAAAGGCTCTGACCAGTTTATGCGCATTTCTAACAATAATACCGAATATTCGAGATACGAAAACTTTGACCTGACGCGAATGTTCAACAAACAGAGTTTTTGTGATTCAAATATACCAAGCAGCCACGGTTGACTACATCTGAATCATTTTCCTCGTTTCATTATTTCTAATAGAATACAAAAGCTAAATTCAAGCATTTGTAGCTCATAAGCGAGAAATCGAGAGGCATACAACATGGAAGGTCTTAAAGATTTGCTTGGTCCTAAAACACTCCACTGGCTAAGTTATGTGGCAAATGTATTTTGGATTTTGCTCGGAATTGTCCTATCAGCAATCTTTCTAGACATTGAAAACAGCGAATCGAGATTTGACTTTCGCTGTGGCTCAACTGGCGACAAGGAACTCATTCGTGGAAAGTGTTACGAACAGTACGAAAACCAGTACAACAAATTCCCTGTTTATGGATTCGTGATTATTAACTTCCTTGTTACTGCAAGTGTTTGTGGAATATACTCACAAGCGGTGAAGTCGAAAGTTGAGGAACTTGAAAACAACCCTAGAGATGATGTAGAAGGGCAACCGACTCCCCGGAAAAAGCTTTTCAAAGCGTACTGTTTGCAACTTCTCGCCAGATTTATTCTTGGGATTTTTTTTATCCTTCTGCAGACCAAATTACTTTATCCTCTTAGCTTTCCCTCGAACTTTGACTGTAACTTGACAAGAGACGGGAATTTTTCAGATATTACAGTCGATGAGTCTCGCAACGAAACTAAAACGCAAACGTCATTCGAATGTCATAATCAAGGAGCAGCTAAGAAGACCTTCTGGGCTGATGCCGTGATCGTTGTAACTGGAACTTTTGCATTTCTGGTGTTTATCGAGTCTCTGTATATGTTGTTATGGCGTGTAAGAAAAGTAAGCGGCTTCAAAGCCTTTACAGAGGACCAGAAATTTCATAAATATTATCTAAGATCAGCAGCACTCGAACTGCCTTTGTTATTGATCAATGACGAACAAACAGCACTCGAACTGGATCCGTTATGGAACATTGACGAACAAACATCTGTCTCCACTTTCATCGAACATATGAAGGAACATGTCCGATGGAAAACCGAACGACCTGATAGAGATCCTTTTGGTCCTAATCCAGGTAAAGACTCTCAAAGAAATCAAACACTAGACCAAATCTACATCAATTTAGTTATTCAAGAGAGCGGAGTTGATATGCATGACTTGATGGCTAGAGATAGAGACAAACGACAAGAAGAGTACCCCAAACCCAGAGAAAACTCGCAACCAACACTACCAGGACATATTTTTGGTCCTCAAAAACAGAAGATTCTTGTTGTTGGTCGTCCTGGAATCGGAAAAACTATGTTTAGCACAAAGATTCTTCGCAACTGGGCATCCGATAACTTGTTTACAGAAGCAGAAAAATCACCAGTGGATTTCAAAGTCGCTTTTCTCATCAAGCTAAGGAGGTTTAACTCGGCCAAGGAAGACGAAAAACTCAGTCTTCGCGAGCTTCTGAATCACTCAGAGTATTCCAAAGAAGATGTAACCGAAGAGGTCTGGAAGTACATTCTTCAAAACCCAAACAAAGTACTCATAATTTTTGATGGATTTGACGAATATTCTGGTAAGACTAAAATCGATGATGACAGCCATCCGTACAGAGACAATGAACAGGGGAGCATGCCTATTCATTTCCTCTTCAAGAAAATAGTATCCGGAGACATTCTTCGCGGTGCCACGGTCTTAACTACTACAAGTTATGTTATGTCATTTATGAGAAGTCTTCACTTTGACAAAACAGTTGATATTCTGGGATTTACAACTGAGCAACTGGATGAGTATGTGCAGAAGTTCACCAAAGGCGATGACCGGAAAGCAAACATCATAAAGCAGTACATCAGCAGTAACCTTGATCTCTTATCCTTTTGCTGTATTCCTGTGAATTGTTTCATTATTTGTTCCTTCCTGTTTCAACTGTTTGACAACTCAAACTCCGCTAGCTCTGGCCTCATTTCTACAACACTGACCGAGGTATGCTCCACCGCCGTCAAGTTTTTTTACTTTCGTCACCACACTAAAGAAAAAAGCGTAGGAAAAATATTTCTTAAGCCATTTAAGGAACTGTCCTCCTCTGTGCAAAAGGTGTTCAAACGCCTAGGAAAAATTGCCTTTGACGGTATTAGAGAGAAAAAACAAATTTTTGAATCGCCTGAAGTCAACAACCTAGAGAGTAATGGCCTGTTTCACCGTTTTTCTGACACTACAGACGATCCTTTAGCAGAGGGAAGAGAACAATATCGTTTTTTACACCCGACCGTACAGAAATTCTTGGCGGCAATGTATTTGGTGGACACGTTGAGTTCCCAAGAACTGGGGACCTTTGTTTCCGATCACATCCACGATGGCACGTGGAAGGTTGTGATGCAGTTTGTGGCTGGACTGCTGGCTGAAAAAGGAGAACAATCAACAGATATTTTCAGCGACCTTCTTCCCTCAAAAACTTTTACCGATGAAGTTAATATCAAGTTGAGTGAAGACTCAGAGGAACGAACTGAAACACTGACCTGTTGGCCAGCTAATGAAGACAGGGCTTTAGTGGTGACGCTATTCAATTGCATGTATGAGAACAAAGCCTCTGATCGAGAAGTTCAAAAGAAACTGGCGAAAATTGGTTGTAATGCGCTTAATTTAAGTTGGTGTAACCTTTCACCTCTCGACTGTTTAGGATTAGTGCATGCACTTAAATCTGTTGAAGGAATTTTGGATTTTGATTTAAACCACAACAATCTTCAGTCGCTAGGATGTATTGAGATTGCGAAGTTGTTACCTGGCAACCAACACAATCAGGGTTTTTGCGAACTAAAAACATTAGACCTCAGGAGTAACAACATAACTGATAAAGCAGTTAAACATTTATCTACAGCACTCACACACACTAACTGCACATTAAACAGCTTAGACCTCGGGGATAACAACATAACTGATGAAGGAGTAAAACATTTAGCTACGGCACTCACACACACAAACTGCAAACTAAACAGCTTAGTCCTCGGGGATAACAACATAACTGATGAAGGAGTAAAACATTTAGCTACAGCACTCACACACACAAACTGCACACTAAACAGCTTAAACCTCTGGGGTAACAACATAACTGATAAAGGTAAAAATCTCCTAAACTCAATGAACATAAACTGTAAAGTATATATCTAATCCTTGTATGCAATGTAAATGTTTCTCTGTTGAAGGAATTTTGGATTTTGATTTAAGCTTCAACAACCTTCAGTCGCTAGGATGTATTGAGATTGCGAAGTTGTCACCTGGCAACCAACACAATCAGGGTTTTTGCAAACTAAAAAGATTAAACCTCGCTTTTAATCAGATAACTGATTAACACCACACTAACTGCAAACTGAACAACTTCAAGCTGAATCAATATTGCTTTTTCTAAACTTAAAGCTCAATAAGATAACTGATGGATGTATAAAACGCTTCACTGCCAGCACTGCACTCACACATACTAACTGCAAAAGAAACAAAGCTTAGACCTTAGAGCTAACAAAATAACCCAGCAAGGGAAAAATCTCTCAAAAGCAGAGAAAATAAACTATAAAGTATTTATCTAAGCATGTGTAAATATATTTTTCTGAATAGCAATAATTTGAGCTACATTCTTTGACATTATATTTTCGATTTTTTAAAAAGAAGTTTTAAGTTTTTTATTAGTTCGGCAATCAGGTAGCTTCTAAGCAATCTCGAAGCTCTTAGGTTTCCATTTATATATTGTTTTGTTTTGCTCTTTTTTCTTAATAATAGTGTGGGTTTTTTGTGAGAAGAGAAAATTTGTTTGGTCATTACTATAGCTTTACATAGCAGCAGGGTGTGATTTGAACAAACCAAAAGAACTAAAAGCTAAAAAGATTTAGAATAGATTACAGTTTACTAACTCCTAAAAAATCTCCACTTATCGTGAAGCCTACCGTTAATAACAATAACAATGTGAATTAGTGACCCATAATGAAGACTGGAACAAATTGATGGATATTTACATTTTACTTAGATAACTAAAC